TTGAGTTAACCAAAACTTAAATTTTATTGAAATAATCCTTTATTGATTTTTTATCAACCATAGACAAAAACTTATTGTTTACAAAGGAATTGGAGTTTTACATTCTTGATTTTATCAATACTTCCATATAACTTGTTTAATATATTCCAAGCAATTTTTGCAGAATTTACCAAAGTAATCTTCTAAGATTGGGCGAATCCACACGTTAATGAATAAGAAGAGAGTTTTGTAGTCTTTATTCTTAAATTCCTTTTGAACTTTTCTCCACACCTTTGTAGCATCTTCTTCCACTTATTCTTTATAAATTCTAACATTTTCTCAAAACCATAGATAACACACGTTTTAATGTCATTAATCAAAGTTCTTATCATTAAGAATTGAAAGGTTGAAAAGAAAAGACTCATTAAAACCCCAAAAAATTCACACCCTAAACTTAGCATGATTCCTAAAAAAAAAATATTTCTTACACTTACACAACACTAGGATAAATAAGTGTCTTCTCACATAGCTTAATACCTCACAACATCACATACAATAAAAAAATAGAAGAAAAATGCTTTAAATACCATTTGTTAGAACACTAAAAAAAAAAGGAAACAAAAAACAAGAAATATATATAAAATTTGAATTTTACATTCCACACAATATATCAATTATAAGTAGTTAATTAATAGTACTATTAATTATCTAACTAACACACTATACTAATTAAATTATTTATAATAATTAATCTAATTTAATTCTAATTTAATTAATTTGAATGAATTTGATTAGATTGAATTGAATGTAATAAAAAATTATAAAACTTAATTTAATTCGATTTAAGAATTATTTTTATTAAATTGTGTTATGAATTTAATCAATTTTGACCCAATTGTATATATTAATTAATTTTAAAAAATAGTGTTTAAAAAAAATTAAATATTTTTTTCTTTTATTGAAAACATCTTACTCAGAGTAATTCTTTGAATATTTTATGTTTTTTTATATTTCATCAAACTTATATTATTTTTCTAATAAATCAAAAATCAATTTCTTAATAAATCAAAATCAAATTATTTTAAGTATTTAAATAAGATAAATTTTAAGATATTACAATAATGTTTTGAGGAATTATTTTTTAAATTATGTTAACTTATTTTTTTCATATTTTATAATGTAATTTTCAAAATATATTTTGCTATCTTAATATCTAAAATAAATATTTTTAAGAATATATTTTACTTTTTTAAGATTCTGGTTTACTTTGCAATATGAAATAAAAAAAATTAAGTGTAAATATCTATTATTAAATAAAAATTTAAGACGAAGGTGAATTTAGAGAAAAAAATATGAGGGTAAATAGTTGAGCCTACAACTAATTTTTATTGAGAAATTAATTACTATTTTTTTAAATTACATATAATATAAAAATAGTATTTGATGAATTATCTTTCTAATATTTTTTGGACATTATTGAAAATATTTTTTGGAACATCACAATTAAACAAATGTTCACAAGGGTACGTTTAAAAATTTAAGCTGTTTAGAAAAAGGAATTTTTAAAGACTTTATTTTCTTTCAAATTTTAAATTATAAGAACTAGTTAGTTTATTTTTTTTAAATAGTTTTTATTTTTTTATTTTTTAAAAACCAAAAAAATTATCTGATAATTATTGTATTAAAATATTTATATTTTTATATATTAAAAAATTAAAACTAATAAAAAATATATTTCTATTTTATTGATAGTATCTTCATCTTATCAATAATTACGTTATATAATTTTTTGTTATATCTTTAATTTATCAAATAATTTTCAAGTTAGAACTTTTTTTTTCAACTTAATTTTAAATAATTTTTAAAAATTATTTTTAAAATTTTAAAATATAAATTAAATAAAAACAAACCCTAATTTTCAGAGTAAATTTTATTTCCTAATATTTTCCTTAAAGAACCCTTCTAATTAGATTGAGCTAATTGGGCTGTGGAACGCCACAGGCCCAGTGGAGAACATGAAACCTACCCACACACGAGGGGCAGGCAAGGGGGAACAGTGGAACACCGCACACATTGTCGCGAAGTTTAGTTTTGCACTCACGATACAATTTTCACAAAATCTTGTCTAATCTCTTTTTCGAATTTGTGTTCTATTGTCTCTGTTACCACGATCTTCTCGCACATTTTCTCGCTTCTCTCTCTTTTATCATCTCTGCACTTTGCCCTCTCATGCCCGAACTCTGACCGCGTTCCAACTCTTCTCGCACAATTCATCCAATAAGGTTTGCTTCTTACCTTTCCCTCCCAATTTTATTCATAAATCTTCCACCTTCTCATTGCTTAGTTCGTTCTGTCACCGAGGGAAATTCTGAATCATTTACTGTCTTATTCTATTTGTGTTTTTTTTTTTTAAATTATTCTTATTTCCTATGATTTAATATAATTATTATTGTTAATTTTTTTGTTCTATATTGAGTTGTTTTTTTATTTGCCTCGTCTTTTGAATTGAAACATTATTTTATTTATTTATCTGATGCGATTGCAAAACTATTTCATACTGAGTTCAGATCCTTAAAAATGAACTACGTAACTGTTGGAACTTCTAGAGATCACTTTTATAAGGTTCCTCCCTCTTTACCTACTAGCACCTTGTTCTCTGAAAACAAGGGGATACTGGCGTTTTTTCTGTTTCCTTCGAAACATACTCTATATACAAAGTGGCGGGCTGGCTTTTATACACGATGATGTTGTTGCTTATGGCTTATTTTGATTTTGAAGTTGTCAGTGTTTACCCTGCATAAGTGTGTAATTTCCAACTAGAATTTTCAGAGTATGGTCATACTTATCCTTAAAATTGCATATGTGTAAGATCTAACTAGAATAAAGATAAAATGAATGTTTCTATGATTATGGAAACTTTAATTGATGATATAAACAGTTAGTTCCGAGAGATTAAGAGACATTAGTGTATTAGATACTTTAAGTCCTAAGAGATAAGAAGGTTATGTTATATTGAAAAGATTACATTAGGAGATAAATTTCATCCAAAGAGACAAAAATATTAATATATGAAATAAGTAGATCCGAAAAGCTAAAAGATTAAAATATGAAAACCAACTAAAGATGAGTCATGAGGGACTTAATAAATAAGTGTAGTAAGATAGTCGAGAGAAAAAAGAGAAGAGGAGAGACGAGAGACTATAGGATTTAAGTAAGCCTAGCAACCTTACATTCATCTATAATAATTAATTTACATGTTTGTTGAAATTCATGAATGAATCTGTGTTTTCAATTTAAACTAATTAATGCATAAGTTAAAAGATATATATATATATATATATATATATATATATATATATATATATATATATATATATATATATACTTCCCTTATCAAAGAGGACTAACTCTGTGAATGACACTGCTAGTTGAGGATCAAAGAAGACAGTTCCCTTGGCAAAAGGGATTTACAAAATATATATTTTTTTTTATCTTAGTCTCGTATATTTGCACTTCTACAACTTGAGGAACATGCAAGCTATTCAAATATTTCCACTATAAATGCCTCTTTTATAGTGGAAATATTTGAATGGCTTGCATGTTCCTCAAGTTGTAGAAGTGCAAATATACGAGACTAAGATAAAAAAATATATTAAGATGTAAATCCCTTTTGCCAAGGGAACTGTCTTCTTTGATCCTCAACTAGCAGTGTCATTCACAAAGGTAATCCTCTTTGATAAGGGAAGGATGTGGCAAAAGTAAGGGGGACACTGCTAGAGATTTTGAACTCAAATACCCCATTAGAACAAAAAATAAAGAAAAACTAAAAAGTAGTGAATGTAAAAAGATTATAAAGTTATGCGAATATTACATGTTTTGATGTCATGATTTATATGTGCGTCAAGGTATTAGTCTATATGGAATTAATTAGTACTTTCTAAGGATATATTGCTAAGGATTATATTGTATCTTTGGTATTCAAAATTGAGATGTTATGGTTTATTTTTATATTGATTTTTTATTCAAGTCCCCATTATAAATATAAGTACTGTAATACCCATGAGTGTGTTACAATATGTGCTTATACCAAGTGTAATAGTCTCTTTCTCTTGCAATTTAAAGCCTTCCCTATTTGATGAGTGGCAGATTACTAAGGCATTGTTTGGATGGATTCCTTTATAAGCACTTGTAGAAAAAGAAAATATGTATAAAAATGAGTTGAACTTCTCCATAAACAAATGAACTAAAATCAACCTATGTACTTAATTTTTATAAAAATGTTTTCTCTTTTAACTTCTCCAGAAGTTGAAATGAATATTATGATTTTAGTTTATGTGAGAAACTCAATTTGTTTTACCTTAATTCATTCTTCCTTCTTATTTTCTTCATTTATAAGTGCGTGTAGAGAATGTATCTAAATTTCTAACAAGGTCTAAGAGTTGGGTTTTATCTTGTTGTCTTACAATTTGACAGTTCTAATTTTGAAGAGATAGTGGGCTGGGCTTAAGAGCACAATACATCATTTCTATGTATGTGGACCTCAACTGATCCAAGCAATAAGAAAAAAAAAACGTTTCTCTCTCTTATTAGTCTTATGTGGCAAATTGTAGGATATTGAGTGGCCAAACTGTAAATTTTGTTTAGTATTTTTTTGGTTTTTATTTTACGTATGCTCTCAACTGTACCTTGATTTGCATGTAAGTCAGGATCTTTTACCAGAACATAGCTTTTCAGTGAACTATTTGTATGTGAGCGAATTTTTCAATTATGCATTTTGCGATGAATTAAGACATACTATAATGAACTGAATATTCATTGCTTTTGGTTCCATTCATTATGCTCAAATGTTCATTTTTTTGTCATACAGAAATCTATTTGATGCTGTGTGTGAATTGCTTACCTCGACTTAGTTTGATCATGAAAACTCTTGCATAATGAACCTTGGGTTATGATTGATGAATTATCTAATGTATGGGAATTTTTCTGCAGAGAGTAATAGTTGAAGAAAGACAGTAATTTCAATGTACTTTAGGAGAATAAGATGCAACAGAGATCGGACATGGGCTTTGGTGTTGCAGCCGTCAAAATATTTGTTTAGGCCAAGATTCTCTGATCATCAATACTTTCAATCTTTGTCCCCTAAGACGACGACTGTGGAAGAATATGCTTCGCATGCCCGGAACATCAGAAAACATCTTTTAGGTTCATATTCATGTAGACATAATTTATCTAGGAATAGTTTTGCTGCTCTGGACAGAAGGGCTAGTTTAAGTCTTAGCAGTAATCAGTTACGTGACTATAGTTCTGAAAGTGATGGGAGAAATGCTAGTGAGGATAAACATGTACATGTTAATGATGGGACCAACTTTGATAAAGGACAGAATCAACAAGAGAAGTTTGGGAAAGATGTCAAGTACTGCAATGCACATGCCCGGCTTGGAGAACAGGAACAAGAGGAATGGCTTAATAATGAGAGGCTAACTATAGAAATTAAAAGGAGAGAATCACCATTTTTGACAAGGCGGGATAAGTTTAAAAATGAGTTCATGAGAAGAATAATTCCTTGGGAGAAAATAAACATTACCTGGGACACATTTCCTTATCATATTCAGTAATTACTATTGTTCCTATTTGTTCTTTTTTCAATTTAGTATATTCCCTTATATGAATTTTATTGTGGAATTAAATTGTATTTTTCCATATGCAGTGAGAATACCAAAAATCTTCTGGTGGAATGTGCTACTTCCCATTTGAGACATAATAAGTTTGCTTCGACTTTTGGTACTCGGCTCTCATCTTCAAGTGGGAGAATATTGCTTCAGAGCATTCCTGGTCTGTCATTTATTTCATAATTTTTGTCCTTGTTATTCTGTTTAATATGTAATGTTTATTTTGGATGTCATTTCTCTAACATTTATGGATCAGAAGTTTATTATAGTTTTTGCCTTATGTCTAAATGTTGATGTTGTCTTTTTAACTTCAGGCACTGAGCTGTATCGTGAGAGATTGGTTAGAGCTCTTGCACAGGATTTACAAGTTCCTCTTTTAGTCCTTGATAGCAGCATTCTTGCTCCTTATGTATGTTCTGGAGGAATTTAGACATTATAATAGAAATGGTGCTATGAAGAAAATATTTACCTTCAATTGTTTTGCAGGATATTGATGATGATGATTTATCATCGGACTATGAGTCTGATGATGATAATGCTGAGTCTGGGGAGGATGGTTCTTTGGAATCAGAGAATGAGGACCATAATGAAGCTAGCAACGAAGAAGAGTGGGCTAGTAGTACAGAGGCAAAGTCAGATGCAAGTGACAATGAAGATGCAGTAGCGTCCGCTGAAGCACACCTTAAGAAGGTTAAAGCAGCTGTTCTTCGGAAACTTGTCCCCTACAATGTTGAAGAATTTGAAAAGGTGTATATACAAGTTTACAATTAATAGGGTATTTTTGTTGATGTCTAGGTTTGTGATAAAATAAAGTATCTGGTAATGGTTAAGGCTATTAATTAATGCACTGAAAATAAACTAAGATGATTGATATTTGAAAAGGTGGTATTCTGATTTTAGTGTTAATTAACATTTATTTGTTCATTACTTTAACGTTCACCACAGGTTATATATGTTTACTTTCTACATATAAGCATGCTGGTACTTATACTGATAAATAATAGGAAATCAAGCATTGTGCATAACCAATGATGAAACAGATTTCTAATTTTTGATTTCTGGTTTGAAAAGGTATTGAAAGTTTACTTGTGGTGCTAGTGTTGCATTATATATGAGATAGTTTTTAGTAGTTATTTTGGTTGAAACTCGTCTTAGTCTTCTCTTAAGAATTATTAGTATATAGGATTATAAATACACTTTGCAGTTTAAATTCATTCAATCACTACGAATAGTTTTATGTCTCACCCCTACCCCAAACTTTTGACAGATAGTGGCTGGAGAATCTGAGAGTTCTGAGAGTTCTGAGTCCTCCAAGCCCAATTCTAATGATGCCAAATCTTCTGATAAATCTGGATGTCAGCTAAAAAAAGGTAACACATTCAGCTAGCTGGAACTTCGATCATATATAAGCTTGCTAAATGTGATTTTGTACAACATTTTCTACTTGCAAGGAAAACTAGTATGTCAATTATACTCATGCTGTCAATGATTATATACTAGTTATCCAATTATTATGAAATTTAGAGTTCATACACAGTGAAATGTGTTCCCTGCCATTTTCCTTTATTATGTCATGTAAATGGAAAAATCTTTTATACTGTTGAAATTATAGGGTTTTTACAATAGAGGGAAAAGAGACTGACTAATATTTAATCGTGTATTATTATTCATTACAATGATATCTACTGTGATACTAAAGACCAAATCATTCATCCATTTTTATATTAATAATCCTAACTTATGACCAACCCTTCAGATTTTCCTTTTCTCACGCATCAGGGTACAGTCCACTAACCAGTTTCCCAATTTAAAAAAGAATTTAACTTCAATCAATGGTTTATCATTCAAGAAAAGCATTAAGGATAGCAACAAACACTTAATAGAAATTTGATTGAAGATGTAATAGAATTCAAATTACAAAAAGTTCCACATTAGGATTCATTAATCCGTAACCTAAACAACTATTTATGCATGATCGAAGAAAAGACTAATAGAAGAAAGAAAAGAGGCAAGAAAGAATTCCATTAGGATTTGATGAATCTGCATGTTGCAGCCTTGTGACTTGTGACAGCTTTTACTTTTTCCCATTCCCATGACGCTCTTCCTATTTTGATTTGCTGTTTTGGATGACATCTTATCCATCCCTTTGTTGTACTTTTTCACTTGTTAGATAAGAAAGTAAATGGAGTATTAAGTTCTGCATGGTTTTGAGAACCTTCTATTTGGTTTTCCATGAATAGAGGGTAGGAAAGGTTATTGAGAAGAGAGGGAGAGGAAGAAAGCATAATATAGGAGTTTTGTTTTGTTTCGGTGGTGCGAGGAGGAACCTCCCATGATTAAAAAATATTTTACAGTATTTCTTACTGTTGTTATCTGCCTCTTTCCTGTTTTTAAGAAGCTATGACTTAATCACGGGAAGTGACACTGCTGGTGTTTCTATTAAAAAACAACACTACTTTTCATATATCCTTCTTCTACTAGACAATGTTTGCACTAGTGATTGCATTAATTTAAGATGTAGCAGACTATCAACCACTTACTTTTCTAAGCTATTTTATTTGCTTCCGTTTTCTAATTTGCATTAGCATTCATGTATATATCTACATTACTGCTTCATTATATTTTTCATAGGTGATCGTGTAAAGTACATTGGGCCATCTGTTCAAGTTACTGATGAGGATAGGTAATAAAATGATTCCTCCTTTACCCCCTACGTAGTCCATCATCTCCACAAAAATTGCAGCTATTTTTTTGCTGAAACATTCATTTTAATTATTGAATAAAGCATGCATGATATATTTTGAGCCATGTAGAGGAAGTTGCTTATACATGTTACTGTGACTGCCAACGTGGCTGATTCTGATAAATCATTGTTGAAGATTTTCCCCATCTAACTACACATTTTAAGCAAAATGACGGGGATAATTTGATGATGACAGCAAAAGTTTTAGAAAATGAATTTTCATTTCTTTTTTCTAATAAAAGAAGAAATCTTGTTTAGAACCTTGATAATAATGCATCTGAGGGTTGAGAAATATCTTTCATAGAACGTAAAGAAAATAAATAGCTGAAGAGGCTATTTAATAAACATGTTTGCCATTTGTATATCAGAATATGAAATTCCTTGGAGCAGAGCCAGAGCACTGTATAACAGGCGTATGCTCAACTTGATCCATAAAATATGTGTAGAAAACAGGCAAAGATGCCCTTGTTAATGCTGAGATTTATACCCAAGAGAACTGCATAAATAATGCAGTGTCAATGAATGTCATAGTTGATACTTTCAAGGGCCTACTGTCCTCTTTCAATTTTATTTCAGAGACTTAAGCTGAGAAAGGAATGTGATTCTTAATTCCATTGTTGCAAAACAAAAAGAAAGAATTATCATTCATTTATATAATTTTAAATCTTGCACAAATAATGACAATTATTGTGTGCAAGATGTTGAAATGATTATTGTTTTTTTTTGTGATTTCCATGCTTGAGACTCTGGTCTGGTAACATGTGGTACTATTGGTAATTATAGAGGAAGCCGTGATTCTTTTATTAGATGTTAAATGTTGGACAAGTAATGACAATTATTGAGTCTCTGGTAACACGTGGTTGTAATAGGGATAAATATGGAGAAATGAATGTGATTGTTAATTCATTGTTGCAAAAAGGAAAAAAAAGAGTATCCTCATTCATTTGTAAGATGTTAAATATTGCATAAACAAGGACAATTATTGTGTGCAAGATGTTGAAATGATTATTGTTTGTTTGTGATTTTCATGCTTGTGGCTATAGTATGGTAACATGTGATTGTAGTAGTGGTACTATTTGTAATTATAGAGGAAGTTGAGATTATTTTATAAGATGTTAAATATTGTACAAATAATTACAATTATTGAGTCCCTGCTAACATGTGGTTCTAATAGTGATAATTATAGAGAATTGAATGTGATTCTTAATTCCATTGTTGCAAACAGAAAACAAGAAACGATCATCATTCATTTATAAGGTGTTAAAAATTGCACAAACAATGACAATTATCGTGTGCAAGATGTTGAAATGATTATTGTTTCTTTGTTTGTTTGTGATTTTCATGCTTGTGGCTATGATCTGATAACATGTGGTTGTAATAGTGGTCATATTGGTAATTATAGAGGAAGTGGTGGCGTAGTTGGATGTGGGGATCTTTTTAAGTTTTGAGATTGGAATTCTTAAATCTGAAGAGTATAATGGGAAAGGGGAAACAACTTCCCATGATTTTTCATATACTGATTTCTATCCAATAAGGTTCTTAGGCACATGTATATTGTATTTCTATATCATGAACTCGGGATTTAGTAAAGTCCTTAAAAGAACTGAAAATAGAAGTTCTTAAAATGATAATCCGATTTTTGAGTAGTCAACTAATTGATATTTGTCAATATCATATGAGAGAAGTATACGAAGTTTCTATTTTTATGCCATTTTTTTCCTTGAAGAATTTTCCACTTTTTTATGGTAAGACTTTCCACTTAAGCGTGTTAACCCTCAAGTGCTCAGATAGTCAGTGTAAGTTATGTAATTTTAAGCTTACTTATTTTAGGACTTGTGTAATATGTAGTTAGGGCCCTGTACTTTTGATGAATGTCTTAGGACATAGTGCCGAAGTAAATGTGAAGCCCTTGAGTTGCCTAGGATGTTTCTTGTAAAACCATTGTATCATCCCCATTGGACTCTGAACTAGCACTCACCTGACATTGGCATATATAATTTTATCACAGGATTATACTGGGGAAGATACCAACTTCTGATGGTCCAACTAATGCTTATACTATAATACATGGCAGGTGGGTTGGTAAGTCCTCCCTGTATATAGAAGTCAAACTGTTAAAAGCCTCTAACCTTTTGGCATTTTCTTAAAACCCATTTTTTTTTTTTGAAAATGTGCAAATATGAGATTATTACTCATAATACAAGGTGGCTTTCATTTAATTGAGATTTTGACCGGAGATGCAATTTGATCTTGAAAAGCATGCAATGTGACCCTACAAGGAATCCTATGGACGTTAGTCAGTATTTAGGTTGTAGATTGTAAACTGTTGTAATCATAGTTACTGGGTGTACTTGGATTAGGTTTGAGTTTTGTAATTTTCATCTTCATAGTGAACTTTCTTTCTATTTTCCCATGGGCCTTAGCCTAATAGTTTGCTATAGGTTGAAACCATGGTAAATTTGTATCTGTTTCCCATGGGCCTTAGCCCCTGGTTACAATCCAACATGTGGTTGACAGTAGCTGGTTATTGCAATCTAAATGTCTACGTACTCATATTTTGGGTGTGTGAAAGGTTTCTGAAGTTTACCTAATAATTATTTTCTTGGTCTGACTGATTTTCCTTTGAATTGGTCCATTTCTTTTTGTTGAAAAACCTCATTAATTGTTGTCATCACCCTTAGCTTGCCTCTGTTACATCGTGTTTGGGGGTTCTCTAAATTTTAGTCCTACATAGAATATTGATGTGGTTATAATAGAGTATATTAGCGGGTACAAACTTCACCTTGTAAGGTTATTTTGTAAGATTGAGTAATGATTCAATCCATTATTCCAAGACCTTTCTTATGTCATCAATGTGAGTTTGTCTGATTTTGTTCTTGGCTATTTAGGGAGTTTCTATGTTGGATATGAGAAGGGAATTATTACTCTTTTAGGTTGACAATTATTATTATATGTTGGATATCTTGCAGAATCTCAATATTAATAATTTTAAATTTTTCATTATGTGTGGCTAGTCATCTAAATATTTTTTAAAGGGCTAAAGTAGTTTTTGGTCCCTCCAAATATCCTGATTTCCCTATTTGGTCTTCCCATGTAGTTCTTTTATTAGGCTTCTGTATTTTTGTCCATTAAGTGCCAACATGACTCTTAAAAATTGGGGACCAAATGGGACACTTATGTTATTACGAGGACCTAATAAAAAGTTTGTGATATTATGAGAAACCAAAGGTGACCAAAAAAAAATATACTGGTCAGACGAAACTGACATAAGACTAACAAAAGGACTACATGGACAAGGAAAAAAAATAGATGGACTATATTGCAACATTTTTATAAATGAAGGATCAAATGGAAAAGGATATTTAGGTGTCAGTTATATAATTTAATCTATTTTCTTAATGTATTTTGTAGTGGCCCTTTTGTGGCTTGGACTACTGTTTCTGATACTGAGGTGTACTGTTGTAAATAGTTGGGATGTCTAACATTCATTTTTCTGCTATTCATGATGCGCTTTGAATTATGGCTTGGTTTTCCTTCAATATTATTCTTCAACATATTTTGTATTGATAATTTGATATACAAAACATATTAAATGCAAGAAAGAATATATTTTCAAAGATGCTTATAGCTTGCAGGTCATTCTTTTTATCCAATTTTATCCAATGTGGGTTCCTATGTGGATATATTACAGGCCTTTAACTACTGGTCAGAGAGGAGAGGTATACGAGGTTAATTTAGATCGAGTTGCAGTCATCTTGGATATTAATGAAGATAGGGTCAATGAGGGCGAGGCAGAGAACCAAAATGATGATTATACCAAACCCCCAATTTATTGGATTCATGGTAAATTTATCTTATTCAGAATATAGAAAACCGTAATCTTCTAAGATCTTAAAGCTATATTCCTTATTCAAAGTGACCTTAATGTTGGTCCAATGGCTTAAATTATTAAAGTTTTTTTTTTATTTGCAAACAGTTAAGGACATTGAGAATGATCTTGATACTCAATCACAGGATTGCTACATTGCAGTGGAGGCTTTATGTGAGGTATCTGGCATTTTTCAATTTTTTGAAATCTCTTTATAAGATAACCAAATTCTTGTGTTACTGATGGATGAACCTGATTATTGCTTTTGCAGGTTTTGCGTAGAAAAAAGCCACTTATCGTCTATTTTCCTGACAGTTCACATTGGTTACATAAATCAGTTCCTAAGTCAAACCGAAATGAGTTTTTTCATAAGGTTGAGGAAATGTTTGATCAGTTATCTGGCCCTATAGTATTGATTTGTGGGCAAAACAAAATTCAGTCAGGATCAAAGGAGAAAGAACAATTTGTAAGTTTCAATTGTTTGTCATGAAGTAATCTAAATGTTCTAGGCTAAGATGGATTTACTTACACTTTACTAATATTTACATTTTATTTTGACTTTTTCCTTGATCACATGTGATGTTTGACAGACAATGATACTTCCAAACTTTGGACGTGTTGCTAAGCTGGTAAGTAATTCTCTTTACCTTTCAACAAATTTTTACATTCCATTAAACATTCTTTTCTTAACTATCTGAGTTCAAATTCTGCTGCATTCAAATCACTATCCATTTTTTTTGGATCCCAATGAGTTATAGTGCATTTTTAAATGTAATATTGAATTTCTTTTCTTCCAATTAGTGGCTTTGAAGAGTTATGATAATTATCTCATTTTATGCATATTTTGTTATCTTGGTTGAAATACTTTTAAGGTGCTGATTGAGTCTTTGTAGATATTTTCTAATGATATAGATGGTAAATTTGATAATTTCCGAATACTACATCTATTATTATTATTATTATTATTATATAACATCTGCTTTGATTTCGTAAAATTGCTTTCATGTTTAGATTCACTTGACTCCTGTCAATAGTAATTTGTTTTCCATCATTCTTGTTATTCTGTTAATGAAATATGGGAACTTTTATTGGTATTATGTGTATCATTTTCTATTTGGAATGCATTACATCAACTTGGGCTCTTCTCTTTGGCCATTTTTTTTCCCTTAGCAGGTTTATACAAGATTGTTGCCTTGCCTATTTACAATGTGCAAATTATTGAAAACCATTAGGTTAATGCTCATGCTTTTGTTTCATTATTATATACTGATGATTCTTCTGTGACGATATTCTACCATTGTAAATATTGGCAGTATTTTTCTTTTCCAATTTTTGTGTAAGATTCAATATTCCCCATTCTATAAAGCCTAAGTGCACTTGTAATCTGCCCTGGTGTCTGATTTGTTATCTGTTGGGTTGCATATGATGCTGAAACGAATGGTCAATAAATGCTAACAGGGCAGGTTAGTGCACTTGGGACATTGTGGAAATCATCAAATGATTTTACCCAACCCATCATTGAATTATTTTTGATAACTTTACAGCCTCTTTCTCTGAAGCGTTGGACTGAGGGAATTAAAGGGAACAAGACATCAGAAGATGATGAAATTAACAAGCTCTTTTCTAATGTTCTGAGTATAGATCCACCCAAGGTAATTGTTTCGCATATGCATCAACGACCTACGGTTTTCATTATGATTGATTAAAAAAATCACCGGAGGTAATTGTTTTGTCTTCACCACTATGAAGTACTACTATTACTACAATGATTCTCACACTTGTCAAACACCACCCTTAACTATGAAGCATTTAATGTTTTATTTAAATATCTCATCTGGCCATATACAATAATGAACAAGAAAATTAATTGTCAACATACAAGTCTCTCTGAAGGTTTTTTTAATTCAATACTAGTGAGACGTATGTTAGAAACATAATCATAATGGAAAAGTAAATGGCTTGTGCACATTCTTACACTACACAATATTTTTATAGTTCTTTGATATACTTCCCCATCTTTCTTCATAGACTTAGTAGATATGGATGTTGATATTGGTGGCATTTATGCTATGAATTCCCCCTCCCACCTATCTCTTCTTCTAAGAATTAGTAATATATCTTTCTCAAAGGCATACGTTGGAAATCTTATAATTCTTCATGAATCCAAAGCACAAATATCGTCTTGGTTTCACTGTTGTTGATTGGCTATATGAGGATTATAAAGCACCTAGATTTATATACAATTTGATGAAAAGGATTCTAGTAGCTTGGCTGTTAATTTCCTTTCTGTTCTTCATACACACACACACACACACACACACACACATATATATATATATATATATATATATATATATATATATATATATATATATTTAGATGTAATTTTTTCATCTGAGAATCTGTATGACACTTTGCAGGATGAGAATCAGCTGGCAACATTCAAGAAACAACTTGAGGAAGATAAGAAAATTGTGACTTTACGTAGTAATTTGAATGTATTACGGAAGGTAATTCTCTGGTTTCTGAAGCATTTATTGTTACCCTGCTTGTGATTGATCATTGATGTTCCATATAATATAAGGATATCAAATCGAGATTCAAACTGTTGGATTAAAAAGCTAATTTTTGAATCATGAATCATAATTTTGATTGAATTATAAGCATTAGAGACAACGAAAATCAATGAAATAGCCAGATAGAGTGAATGCGTTAAATAAGTGAGTGTCATAAAGTAGTGATGCATTTTACACCATCAAAATCAATAATATATAACTTAATTTTCATGTTTCAGGTTCTCGAAGAGCATCAGCTATCATGCATGGACCTTTTGCATGTAAATACTGATGGCATCATTTTGACGAAGCACAGTAAGTTCCACTTATTCTCTAATTTGTGGTGGTCTTTTCTTCATCAACCATTTTATTTGTATCTTGCCTTCGCCCTTACGTGTTTCTCCTTTTGGATTGACATGATTTTAGTTATCCATATTGCTTTTCCGTTTTTGAAACACAAATCTGATATCGAGTAATGACCACAGATCTTAAATTTAGAAAACTACTTTGATTCTAGGAAGAGAGAATTGTAAGCTTACTAAGTTATCTTGTTGTTTTTATCCTGTATTATATATATATTTATCTTTATTCTCCTGATGGTTTCCAATGTACAGCTTGTGTTCTTTTTCTTAACAATTTTTTTATTACCAAGCAAGAAAGTTAATAGATTGGAGCATAAGTTATCCCCTTAAATAATGGGGAAGTGATCCGTTCCATTTCCTCACTTGCATTTCATAAGCTATTAGAAAAGTAAATAAGATGGAAGAGTAACATTTATATTTTTAAAGCCTAGGCAGTGGAAGAAATGGAGAGATTCTTTTCTCAAAAAGGTGAGGGGCAGGAGATAATGTGTACAATTTGCATAAGCTGAATTCCATTACAATACTTTCAATAAAAACCTTGGAAGAACATTGTTGCTTCTGGGCAGAAATATAGTTTGCACTCTAACATGTTCAAACCATGTTGATGTTGAGATTTGTTTGTTGCATTGCATTTTATATTTTCATAAATAAAAAGTACTAGAGCATACAAATTTGGAACATATGTTATCAACGGTCTTGCAAACAGGTGCCTTATGGGAGCTTTCTTGTTAAGCAATAAAACATGGGGAGTATTTAACAAATGTTTAATATATTGGGAACTTAAAAGGATTTACTTTTTTATTTAATACCTTCCATCTTTGAATCTTTAACAAATATCGCAAAAGCACCTGGTAATCATTAGTTTTACCATCGTTAGAATTTGTATGTTTACATGTTGCGGTATGCATCTTGTGCTTTTGTTTTCAGAAGCTGAAAAAGTGGTAGGCTGGGCAAAAAATCATTACTTGTCGTCATGCTTGCTTCCCTCTGTTAAAGGAGAAAGATTATGCCTACCTAGTGAAAGGTATAAATATAATTCCTTTTGTTTTATAATATGTGATTTGGTAGAATTTTAAGTTCACTTGTTCTTTTTGTGAAGTCTTGAAATTGCAGTCTCAAGATTGATGGGCCATGAAACAATGTCACGAAAGCCTACTCAGAGCCTCAAGGTATGAGCAATTTTTGTTATTACTCTAAGTGATATATCTGATGATGATTAAAATATTACTATTATACATGTGATTAATGTACGGAGGATATTTGTTATTGTACAACAACTCTTATGGCTGAATAATTTTCTTAACATACAGAAACATGCACCCACAAAGCGAACATTTTCACAATCATGTACATCGTAACAATTTGAAATTTTGGAAATGTTTTATCTTATGTTATTTTGTTCATATGAATGTTGTAACAGAACCTTGCAAAGGATGAGTTTGAGAGCAATTTCATTTCATCTGTAGTACCTCCTGGTGAAATTGGGGTGAAGTTTGATGACATAGGTGCTCTGGAAGATGTGAAAAAGGCACTTAATGAACTTGTTATTCTTCCAATGAGAAGGCCAGAGCTTTTCTCTCGTGGAAATCTGTTACGGGTAATGATTGTTGTTTTTTGTATGCATTCTCACTGTAGCCAAATTGCTTTTGTTCACTTTATTGTGTAAAATTAATTTGAAGAAACTTTTTCCAGCCCTGTAAAGGAATATTACTCTTTGGTCCTCCTGGCACCGGAAAAACCCTTCTGGCCAAAGCACTTGCAACTGAAGCTGGTGCAAATTTTATCAGCATAACTGGTTCGACCCTTACTTCAAAGGTAATTTTGGTTCTTGCACATTTTCCTCTTTCAGTAGATAAGTCTCTTGCAACTAAAACTTTATAAAAATTTGGTGGTTTGTCCATGCAAAAATTTATATGCATCCCATCCAGCTTGTTACTTATGTATGATATCCTTGACCCCAAAGGGAGTGAAAGGAAACAATTACAATGATATCAATCAAATATTCTAAGACAACTTCGGCCTATATCTCATAAAATCTCAACTTTTTGTATTAATCCTAAATCTCCAAAAATAAAAATAATGATCTTAGAGGGTCTTTCCAACTTCAAAATAGATTTTTTAGAAGGAATATCTAATAATTAAGAGAATAAAGAATAGGTTACAAACATAAAGAATGAACTAGCAAGAAAACACACCAGGGAATCTGAAGTGCAAGAACTCTGGACGATAGATGAACATTATTATGTAAAACATGAGTCTATACACTAGTTTTTCCAAGGCTAAATAACTTATCTGGTCCCCTACAGTTGAATAAACTTTACCTTTTAGTTCCTGTTCTTAAAAATCATTCCTTTAAGTCTTATACATACTATTTTTATTCTCTCCCTGCGAGTTTAGATGGTGGGAAATAAAAGTGATTAAAAGTTGTATGTATATAAAATGGTATATGTAGAGACAAACATTTAAAATTTTTCAAGTACAGGTACCAAAAGGTAAAAATTGTTTGTACAACTAATTAAACCTTTTTTCTAAAATCAAGTTCCTTTGTAGTTTCTTTTTCCATTTATTTTCCTAATTTCAGTTGTTTACAGGTATATTAGCTTCTTGTTTTGCATGTGATATCTTATATATATTTATTTATTTTTCCTGATACAGTGGTTTGGAGATGCTGAAAAATTGACCAAAGCACTTTTCTCATTTGCCAGCAAGCTTGCACCTGTCATTATATTTGTTGATGAAGTGAGTGTCTGAATGCCTAACTTGTCATTAATTTTTCTTTTTAAATGGTATTATAGAAAATTAATCTATTTTTTCTGTTACATTGGGAAAATCTTATCTTTTTTATTTTATTTTATTTACATAATTTGTCTTTTTAGTTCTGTATGTTAAATTTTTTAATGTAAATTGCAATCTAAGAAGTTCAATAACAATTTAGGGTGGACATTTTTGAACTAATCGTGTCTCTTCTCTTTGACATGTCCGAGCACTTGACATAGATTAGTTAAAATGGAAAGAGAAAATGCATTAACACGAAATTCTGCACCTTCTTGGTTAAATGCCTTGAATTGAATGTTTCAAGATGACTACGAAATTCAGATTTCAGTCTTATGATTTTGTTTGTCCTTGGTTTTTCTTCAGAAAAGGCTGAAGAGTGTAAAAGTATGGTTCAGGATGTTAGAATTCCTTATTTCTCCCTTTAATGTAATACTTTTTTTATTCTTTAGTATATTTATTTTGTTCAATGCAAAACATTAGTTTCCACTTTCCAGGAATGTAACCCCCAAAAGTAAAAGCAAATAGTCTAAATAAGTTATACATCTTTAATGCACCCTCAAATCTATCTTTATCAGTTTATCTGACTCAATCACGGTTTGTACACCTGGCTTCTGACTTGAATCTGTATTGTAGGTTGACAGTTTACTTGGTGCTAGAGGTGGTGCTTTTGAGCACGAAGCCACTCGAAGAATGAGGAATGAATTCATGGCAGCCTGGGATGGATTGAGGTCAAAAGAAAACCAACGAATCCTTATCCTTGGTGCGACAAATCGGCCATTTGACCTTGATGATGCTGTTATTCGTCGTTTACCAAGAAGGTAAACCATAAGATTTCTCTTTGAAAGGTAGAGTTATCGGCTGAAGGAATATAACCATTATCACATTCTTAAATTATGATTGTCCCATGTTGTGTCAATTTCATTTAGTTTTATCATTGTCTTTGCTGTGTGCTACAGCACTCAATACATTTCTGGTGAATATGTGAATAGTTGATAGGATCTGGTGGAAGTTAACACCGTTTTGTGGTCACTTTTATTCCTGACTACTATGCTATTGTCGAATCATTTGCACAAGAGTCGAGTCAACTATCCAGGCCAAAAGCTTAAGCTGTAAGCGGAGGCTCATGATAACACCACTAGTTATGTTAAAGGTTTATACTGCATTAAATACCTAGATAGTGTGTAGAACTTTACTTAAATTTAAAGTCAACATTTTTGATAAATGTGGGAAATTACAACCTTTTTGATAGCTGAGATTTGTGTTGGCATGATATTTGTCCAGGATATATGTTGATTTACCAGATGCGGAAAATAGAATGAAGATTTTGAGCATCTTTCTTGCACAAGAAAATTTGGATTCTGAATTTCAATTTGACAAACTTGCTAACTTGACTGATGGATACTCGGGCAGTGATTTGAAGGTAAATATTTTTAAGTGCAACTGAGTAGAAACTGGTACATGTTTAAGCATCACTATATTGGACCACATTAGGAAAGTTGGGGATCAAAGGAAAATATGGTAGTGGACAGTGCTACCTTATTTCCGAACTATCAAATTCCTCTTTGCAGTCCAGCATAGTCGTGCCTAACGTTATAATTATCACACTTTCTTAATCTGCAATATATTAATTTCTATATCTCTAATGCTGCTTCATGCTTACATTTGCAGAACCTCTGTATTGCTGCAGCTTATAGACCTGTTCAAGAACTTTTAGAGGAAGAAAAGAAGGTATGGAGATTACAAATTTGAAACTAGCGCAGTTTTTTCATAGCAATTTTGGTGGTTTATGCACAATCCTTTTCAAAATTTTGGCAATGCACTCTGGTAATTTCACAATTACCCGTTATATCTGGTAATTTATGCTGTCTCATATTTGTGGAAAATATTATTTAATAAAGAAAAAGAAGAAATGTTCTTATATTGCAAAATTTTCAGCAGATTTTTATGGTGTAAAAACTATAAACTCCAGGAAAGTATTTTATTGAATGCCATATATTCCCACAATTTATTTATCAAGCTGTTGACAATGCCTGCTGTAATATTAGCTGTATCTCACCGACGAAAACATCATATGCCTAAAGAAGTTTGACTTCGAGGTAAAAAATGGGTGTGAAAATTTCTGAATCAGTAAATATTTGGTTGTAATGATATTGGTAACTTGGGATGTCCACATTCCTGAGTACAAACTTGTATTTTCTATCTAATATTATCTTTGTTGGTCTTATCTATTGGTTGCAAATCTGCAATGCATATGCTTCTGATATTTTTCTTTGATAATTAAAAGAAAAAATATTTTTTAATGGTTTCAAAATTATTTCTGCATATGTAGATTCTCTTCTTTCCGCAGACATTATTATTGAAAAGTTCAATTCTTAGATGCTTTGTTTTATCCAATTCAATGTCAGCTTAATTGGATTTGCTTACCCTGCTTATGTGGTATCTCTTTTGGTTTGCACAGGGAGCCGATAACGGTACAACTTCAGTATTAAGGCCTCTTAATTTGGATGATTTTGTTCAGTCAAAATCCAAGGTATAAAATATTCTAGTTGTTCATTTTGAGTTGTGATGTTTTTACGTGAAGTTCAAGTACTTTCAATGTGTTTTACTTGTACTTACTGTTAGCTGAAATTTATTGAAAATTACTAATATTTGTGGGTCCACTACCTAATTAATGAGCCTCTTTTCTTAATTTTATAGATTGTATTAAATTTATCCGGCAACAAAGGTTTTAGAAGTATGTTTTGCTATAATAATTTTTTAGACTTTGTTTCCTGATTACGATGTTGCATGTTTGAAGCTATTTTTTTTTTTTTTGCCTCATTAAAACGCTCAATTAGTGTGTAACATGTGAAATGTGTCGTTAAAATGTGTAGGTGGGTCCATCAGTTGCGTATCATGCAACAAGCATGACTGAGTTGAGGAAGTGGAACGAAATGTATGGAGAAGGTGGTAGTAGGACAAAATCACCATTTGGATTTGGTAGCTGATTTTGATATTTTACGTTTCATCACTAACTTATCACCAATGTTTCTGAGCAAAGCATTAGATAGATTCACCTTTTACTTTTCAACGGCCTCTTCATTCCCATCTTTTGGTGTCCTCGTTTGTTATGAGTTTCGGTAAATTTATTTATACGAATTGGTTCATTTTGAGCTGATTTGAGGAATTCAGTTTATTGTGTTGTAATGAAATGTAGGTAGCCTCTAATTTTGTCTAGGGTAAAAACAGGGGTAATTTCCCCAAGTATATATATTATTTCTTAGCAGTGTTTAATAATAAATATATATCACTGTGCGCTGTTAGCTCGTATATGTGCCCGTTTAATGTATTATTTATTCAAAATGACATGCTATGCGCCAATAATTATGCATTTGGATCCTTTCATAACTCATTTCTATTTATTGAAATTTCAGTTCAAAATGAAAGAGAATTTAAATAAAAAAAGGGAGCATGGAGTTTTGATGGAAAAGGATTCAATAAGTCTATCTGATTTATGTGTAACTGAGAAATTTTATTGAAATTGTTTAGTTTACCAGTTGCGGTATTTCTATAATGAAATAAATAAAAATAGTATTTTATCAGTCTAGAAAAGAAAGCACACGATATCGTTCAACATGTTCTTTTTGTACTGCATTTCAATGAGTTTAACCTGGATGATAATTCGACTATTTGATAAAATGGGTGGCAGGTCACAATAGAATTGAATTTATTGATGCGAGAAACTGGCAACAGATGTTATAAAGTAATTGATGTTACCTGTGACGTGTGAAGTATGTTCACTCACTAGCTGAGATTCCTTTTTACATTGGGTGTGCTTCTAGCATACATACATTGAGGTTGACTAAATATGACAAATTCAAATTTCATTAAAAGAGTAATTAATATCATAAATTATCATAATGATAAATTTATTAATTATTACAATAGAAAGTCATGAAATATAGTAATTATTTCATTGAAATAAACCTTTTGACCAATTTGATATGGATTAATACTTGCTTTGAAGTCAAATTAACATGCATACTATATGCTATATCCTTTTCTATCTGCTGCATCCTTATCCTTTATTCAAAAATATTGAATATATTTTTTAACGTATGATTTTAAGTAGTTTGACATCTTTTTAAACAGCAAGTGCTAAGCTGAATCAGTGTTAAATGAGGCCTACATGCTCCATACTCACCTCTCGGATTAATCCACGGACCACACACCTTTATCATTGACACTCCAAATTTATTTATTCTTCCTTTTGATTTCCAATGTGGGTATTCTTAATTTTGTATTTTTTTCCTCTCCTTTTAATATTACCCACCTTTAGATAAGGATGTTTACTCGTCTATCAAAGACTAGACTGAAAAGAAGTGCTTGAAAAGTAGCCCTTCAAGTACTTTTCACCTCGTATCCACACTAGAACAGCTATATATAGTTAAAAAAAAAAATACATTTTGGCCATTGAAGCCGACAAAATCAGCCACCCACTAAAATATTATCCAATAATTAAGACGGCATACACCAGCCTATGCTATTTTTCTTTTCACTCAACCAAGGGGGGAATGGAAGCAAACCAAACAAAAGGGAAAGTTATGTACACGGATAAATATACATAAAAAGAAAATGGCCATTAAAATCTAAATTTACAAAACGGTGTTTATGTGTAGTGCTTTAAGTAATGAGGTAGCCATCTGTTTAACCAACACTTGTCCATCTCTCCGTTCCCCTATTAAGTTTTGAAGTTTTTCTGGTAGATCATTCTCCACGATCAACTTCTTGGGCTGAGGGTGATGCTCGTAAACGGCCTGCAAGAATATTTTTTGTGAGTATGATTTCTGCAGGGGCAAATACATCGTTCAAACAGCAAGTAGTATGTTGCATTCATAAATATTTTATACTGAGCCACATCAACATAAAAGCGAAACAACCACGTTCCATTCTATCTGTGTATATTATTCAGCCCACGCATTTAGCATTTATATTACTCACATTAATTACAAGAGATGATCAACACATACAATAAATAATAACTCTTACAAACAAGGTGCTGGGAACATTATCCACAAGTACAATTAGTAACTACCATATGTTCTAATACTGTTCACATGTCAGAAGGATCAACTATTCTATTCAAACGTGTTTGCCTTTGCTAGTCAACATTTTAAAGATGAAGCACCTCTGAATTTCATAAGATAAAAGTATCAAGAATTCAAAAGACAGTTGGACGTTTTTCTCACATTTGAATAAATGTTTATTAACAGTAGTCTATCCATAAATACATACATGTATCGAGAAAAAAAAATTGTCAAATAAAGCTCTTTGTATCACTATACAACCATCTGAAGTTCTAGATAAAATAAGAATGCACTTTGACACTTTTTTAAGAATGTCAATCCATTACTTATGTGAGTATCATGTTTAGAATTTCTTTTTAAGTTTCACAAGTAAAATCCTCTACGCCAGTTCGTTCATCTTAGTTTTCATTTTTAGTTATGATGAATATAATTTTGACATATCTCGAGTAGCCAACTCATAACCTGGTTAACACTGTAACATGAGGGGCGTGTGGTATTAGCCACCACAGATTTTAGCATGTACTACAAAAAGTATCATATATCAACCCGTACCTTTATTAGCCTGAGTAAATTAAGACGAGCTATAGCATCCTGATGATCTAGCCTTGCAATGAGCAATGGTGTTAACCCATTAACAGCCAATGTCGTGTTAATCCTTGCAGATTTTCTGCAGTTATATCACACTGAGAATGATAAATTTGAACAAAAGTACAAAAAGATATTCCAGCTACTACTGCAATCAAACATCACATAACAAATATAATGTATCTTTTTTTTTTTTCTTTTTTTTTTGCATTAATCCATTTTTCACTTTCTAAGATGACCCAATATTCAGCCCACCCATTCAACCGACCTTGTATGATGTCTGGGACGTGAACGTTTAAAAAATAGTGCTTTTACCTTAAAATTTACATATTATATTTGACGTAAAGGGTGGGACATTGCTAGCAAAGATAAGAAGCTAGCATCATTCCATTGCCCATTATATCTAACTTTTCCCATATAATAACATTCTACTAAATATAGAATTAATCTAGGCTCTAATGCATCAGGCTCTATATATAACCCAGTCCCTACTCTTAATTCTTTCTCTGTCATGCATCTAACACAGGTGAAATACCTGTTCATTCTACACATAATCCACTTAATAAGAGAAAAGGGAATTCGGTGCTCTAACACTTTGTTTATCACTTATCCGTGTAAGAGTGATCTATCAAATAGCTAAAGCATTGAAGGACACAACCAAATACTTAATGAAGAGAAAAAAAAAAATTAGAGTCCCATACGTGATGATTTTCAGGAATGGCTCCAATATGTGTACAAAATGCTGCTCTGGACAGCACTGGAAGAACTTCACAAGCTTCTGAACTGCATCTTTTTTCAGCAGTGCTTGTTCAACCTTCCTATTATCATTGTCATGGGCTAAACAAACAGCAATAGAGTCTAATGCTGTCACAGACCAAAGCTGGTCCTCAAGAAGGTTCAAATAGACATCCAAACCACCATGAGCCCTTAACTGCTCCCTTGAATTGCGAGATGCATGAGCCATGTCACATAGCAGAGGCAAAGCATACTGTTTTAAAGGAGAATTTGATGTGATGAATTGCATCAAATGGGGAATGATTCCATTTTCAGCTGCTTGCTCTTGTCTTCTCTTATTTATCTTGCATAAATTGAATAGCGCATTCAAGACCTGTGTAGAAAGAGAAAATGGAAGATGAGATCAAGCCAATGTTAGATAGATACCACCAAATAAGATAAAGAGTAACAACAATTACAGATAGTTACACATCTAGAAAATCAAATGCAATGGTGACATGTAATTAGAAAAGTTTGTCCAAAAACCCACAGTATATCTAATAAGAAGGTTACTACATAATATGCTAGACTCAATATTTCGTGCACCCAATATCTTTTTGAAGTAAAAGAGCACTGCAGTTACTGCATGACCAGTGCTAAAATTTATATGAACTTACTATAAATAAAAGTTGAAAGCATTGTACGGAATATTATGACAAAGACAAGTATGTTTCATATAACTCAATTTGGATAACAGTAAGGTAAGCAAGACAAACCTCGTGATGTATCTCTGATACAAGAGACCCTTCTTTGAGTTCAAGATTTGGTATCAAGTATTTTATTGCTTCCGCACGTTGAAGATTTTCTAAGCAATTTGGATCAGTTGATAGATGATTAATACACTTCAGTATCTAGAACACAAGCCAATAAATGAATGGTCAGAAACTAAAGTAGGATATAAGCTAAACTATCAAAAGATATATTTTTGTCGCACCTTCAACAAAATAGGAGGCTCCACCCTATTAAACATCTGGAAAAGACGACTGAGCAAGCTTTGGCTACACATAAATGATTTCACTGTTGTGTCTGCTTGTGCAAACTCAAGCAGAAGATCTGCCACTTTCTCCAGATATTCTCTGGCAACTTCTGCATTCAGTGATGAAACCATGTGGGAAAGTAGTCCAGATGAAGTAGCACTACCAGGTCTAGCATTTAGAACACCCGAACCAGACAGGACACCTGATGCTGTCTGTGATGCAATCCCAGATGTGGAAGCAGCTCCTTCGCTGGAACTTAAAGTCCCCAATTTCTTGGGAGTGGCTTTATGAGACACTCTAGCACTTGAGTCAAGATTTCCATTTTCCCTTCCACGCTGAGAAACATCTGCACAACCACAAATACTGTGCCATTCATAAAGAAACACAAATGACAACCAAACCAAACAAGGATAGAAGAAAAGTTAATGCTACAAAATTAACAGAACAAAACAGATTTTATAATCAGTTAAAGTTTTGAATCCATGTTGGCTATGAACATGTCAACATTAGAGTGAAAAACATTTTTTATTGGGTTAAATATTGTATTTTTTTTCTTTTCTTTCTCTGATAGTGGTTTGGGCCTTTACTTATCCCTAGCAAGGTTGAAGGATCTTCCGATTTAATAAGTTTGAAAACATGCATAATTTGTACAAAATATTATGAAAAAGTTTAAAGTAAATCCTAGTGTTTGGTTACAGTTCTTTAAAATTTGTTATCTGTGTCTTAAAATATCTTCATAAAAAGAAGCAGATAGATCCTTATTACCTGCAAATTCTGCCATCAAAAAGTCTAGTTCACCATTTGATTTCTTTTCAGAGGCATGTAACAAAGGCAGTACACTTTCATGCCTTTCTAATCCTGAGAACTGTCGTACATACTCAAGCTGTCCAGAAAAGCGTCCAGATGGGGGCTCTTTGTCCAACAAGCTAAGAAGAGGTCTCACTTGTTCTTGGTGTGTGGCTCCTGGTACTGATAGTCCATTTGATGATGGTTCTGTTGATTTCGGTTGCCTATCAGTTGATGTCCTGTTAGTAGACATCCGTTGTCTGGATTCAACATCTGCTCGAGAAGGATCAGTTTTCCAACGATCCATATTCTCTTGCTCTTTCAATGCACCTGCTGAAGATTCTCTGGGTGTTTGAGTTAAATTCTTCTCTTGAAACACAATATCATCCATGGAGTAGTTGGCATCTGATCTTCGAGGATTGGAGGATGAAGGATGTGAAGGTTCTGAGTGATGATCAGGTACTCCACGTCTCATTTTAGGGGGATCTTGCTGGTCTACTGAAGATAGTACAGCCTCATTCTGATTGATATAGGGGTGCGTAGGATCCAAGATACCAGATCGTGGGCGTTGAGCTGAACCATCAACTGAAAATCCACCCCCAGCAGAGCTAGAAGCTAGTCGAGATGACTCGTTTAAGCTATAAAGAGTATTTATAAGCCTGAGAAGTATTCCATTCTTAGCAGCTATCCGGCAAAAATCATTTCTAGGAGTTGACTGCTGAAGCTTAAATACCTGCCACATGCCATCAATAGCCAGATGAACCATCTCCCTGAAACAGAAGTTTTATTGTCAGCTTTTATTATACAAATTTTGACGATAAGGTAGAAGCACATGTACATGCAGGGTAGAGGAAACAAATTGAAAAACAGAAGTTTCTTAACTCATACATAATTAGAATTTATTCCGGACCTCAATTAAGGGCAGCATATTATCTTTGTCATATATGAAATATTCTGGCCATTTCCTAACCAATGTGGGACATCTTAACAAGTAATCAATCAGAGATGCCAACATAACCTAAAAGCTCTGTGAAAGACCCAGAATCTGCAGCTTAATCAATAGTGAACCACATGAATCCAAAAGGATAATGCTGTTTGGTGCAGGCCAGGGAATGGCTTCAATATGTAAAAATAAAAACCTCACACAAAAACACTCGTGCCTGAAGCAGGGGGAAAACACATGTTTATAATGTTCTGAAAACCAGCAAAGATCAATATACTGAGCACTTGGTCAAAAAGGCTTTAACATGATGTGAAAAGTCAGGCCTCCATAAAATCCATCCACTGGGTGCTGGGCTCCAAATGGCCTCTTAGTGTAGATTCTATCAGGTTCTGAGATAAAATCTAAGACAAAAAGGAAATTAATCTCATGCTGGAAGTAAAACCTTCAAAACATTCTTCTAGCGGTTCAGTTGATATTAGCAATGTTTTAAAAATCGGAGTGGTCATCAAACCAGTCAAGACATGAATTCAGGGTTGAGGTTTAAATGTTCAACCATGGTTTAACCAAATTTATTAAAATAATATTTTTATAATATAATAAATATATAATAAGTTTATTAGTAATAATGTTTTTTATAAAAAGAAAGAAAAATAATAAAGATTACCGTAATGGTTACCGTAAATTAGAATAAAATTTATAAATATAAAATATATTAAAGAGTGAAAAATGGATAATTGTTAAAATAAGATAAAAAGAAAGTAAAATATATTATATCTTTTATAAAAAAAAATTATATTAAAAAAATTTGATCCTATTATTTTCTTTTTTACCAAAACCGGTTCAACCCAAAAATAGCCGATTTTGTCTCGATTTAATTAAAATCTGGTTATTTGGAAGCAACAAACCGGTTTCTAATCTGGTTCCCAGTTAAACCGGCTGGTCCGGTCCTATTTTCAAAACAGTGGATATTAGTATCCCATCCTAGGAACAATGGGACATTGACGAGAGAAAATAGACTTTTTGTAAAACAATGAGATATGTTTGGAACACACTCTATTATTGAATGAAATTTATTGAAAATAACAAATTTATGTAGGTCCCACATGTCATTTTAATCACTCTCAGCAAAAGCTCAAACAATCTACTCCCTACAGAGAAAGTAGCATAAGTTTACATTAAAAAATGAGAGGTTTTAAACAACGATAACATGCACATAGCACCCATATAAGAAAAGGGATTTATGTGGGCTTCAAGATCACTCCCACATCTAATAACGTATTTTCCTAAAAAGAATCGGGCAAATCTAGGCTACATCTGCTGCAATCTTTATATTGACCAAATCTTGGCATTGCAATGAAAACTATAATCTAGTGTAAAATGCAAGTAATCCCATAAAAGCACAATTCATAAACAACTAACCTGTACTTGGCATAATCGGCCTCAAGAAATCCCACTAAAACTGGTATTCCCCGGCAAGCTATAAACATTTGTAATGTCAAAGAACTGCAAGAAGTAATAACAATCAATTCTATGCTTTATTTTCAAAATATACAATCCAAGTAAAAATAACAATAACAAATAAAATTCATTCCAGACCTTGACTGACAAAGCTGCTGCAAAAAATACGCTGCTTCCATTCGAATCTCTCGGGGACGATCAGGTACTGCAAAACTTGTGACTGCAGGAATCTGCCATGATATTTGATAAATATAGTCAAACCAAAATATTTGTGACACTCAGCAATACAATTAAGGAGGTCAAGTTTCAGTGTTCTGGTAGTTATTTTTATTGGCCAAAATTTAATATTCCAAAATCCCAACTGTTGATTATTGTCTGTTGGGTATTGATATTATTGATTCTTACTTCATTTCCTAGTTTTCTCAGTTAGGAGATTTTTATATCATGGATATGGTTGTGTATAGATATTGTTGATTCTTGCTTTATTTTTTAGTTTTCTCAGTTAGGAGATTTGTACATCATAGAAAATCAGTATCATCACTTAGATTTAGGGTTCCTTTAATATTTACTTTAAAATTGCCTCTATATATGTGTAGCTTCTATCAGAGACAATTGCTCAATCAAAGCAATTTCTTCCGACTCCTTTAGGTCTACTGGCAAACTTGTCACGCAAAATTCACCCTTTTTCCTCTCATGTTCATCATGTTGATAAATGTATTGATATTATTCATAGTGATGTTTGAGGAGTGTCATGTATTAAATAATCCATTAATCTAACAGACAACAACAAAGTTGCTTCCCCATAATTAGTAGATTTCTTATCCACTAAATATGATTTTAGCATATTTGTAAAATTCTACTTCATTATTTAAAAAATAATAATACTCAAAGGAACCAGTGAATGAGCCTCTCCAACATCAGTTAGACACATTTTAGTACAGAATTCAACCCAATTTATAAGAGAAAGAGAAAAGGAGATTCGAGGAGCAAGAAAGATGCATAGTACTTACCAATCCAACAAGACATGCATTTTCTAGAAAATCAGTGTTGTCTTTAACTATTTGATTTATAAGCTGAAGCACAGAACATATGACCTGAAATAACAATTATATTTAAATTAAGATGTCTTCTTCCAAGTTACTAAATTGCCACTATGCCTATAAATAATGAAAAAAGTTAAATGAAGTCCCAAGAAGGACAACATACTCGTGTTTTAGGAACTTCTAGCAAATCTGTTAGAGGAAGTAAACCATGCTGGGTAACAAAAACAATCTTCTGCTCTGGGCGTTGGTTAAATATACCAATAATTTTCTGACATGCAGAAACAATCACATCTTCTGATTCCTCTGGTTTTAATGAACCGACTAGTTTGCTGAACTCAACAGCCTACAACATTGTGGTAAAGACATCACAAACGCAAGTGTAGTATATAAAGCATTGCAAAACCAATAACGCAGCTTTCACATGCAGAGGATGGTGGTTAAACATCTGAGGCTAAAATCAAGGGTAAAAGATAGAATGTCTACATAGAATCCAATAAAGGTTACACAGCAAAGTAAGCAGTGGCTCTAAAGAAGTTAGAGCAACTTGAAATCACCATGTAATGCACTAAAATTTGTTTTTCTTCTTTTCAAGATTTTTATGAAAGCAGCATGGCAACAAAAATTATGAACTTCAATTGTTTGGATTTGAGAGTTGACAGTAGACGGCAAAATGCAATTTTGATGGGCAAAAAATAGTAACATGTTACTTTACAAAATTAGGCATAACCCAGTAGACAACAAAACCTGCACAAGGCAAATTCCAACATTGGAAGAAAGAACATCATGAAACCATAATGAGAAATGCCCAAAAAACAATTTCTTGAGGGCAAATTAAAAAGGGAACCATATGGACGGTGTACACAGTGGAAATTAATATGAAATAAAGATATCCAAGATATTAGTTCCATAACAAAGCTATAATATAAAATGATTACAAACATGAGCCAATATTGAAGGATGAATGTTTTCTACCTTACAATCTACAAAGTTGCGCTAAATTCAAACAACAATCTACCATAACATAATATCATTCTAAACCTTAAAGGTAACCAAGAGAAACAATATATGGACTGCAAGAAAGTGAATAGAATAAACTACTTTTCACGAGGAAGAATAAGTTATTCAGAGGATAAAAGAAAAACCCTTGTTACCTGCAAAGGAAAAAGGTTCTCTCCAGGAAGTTTTTCGTCAAAGACCTGATGAGACAATAAAGAGTCAAAAGACTAACACAGAATTTTAATAGACAAAGCTTAAATATAAAGACTGAATAACTTACCAAACCATCTATATCAATCACATCATCTTTTAGAACACCTATCATCACTCGATGCAAAAGATTCCCACCATTGTTTGCCTGTCCAATTTCGCTTTCCTTCTCCCATTGCTTTCGAGCAATCGTGGCTCTCAACTCTTTAGCCAGGTCATTTTTCCCACCATCAATTGTAGATATATTACCTTTAGACATATGTGAAGTAGATGTGGATGTGGAAGCCTCTGCTGCAACCTCCCCAGGTTGTTTATCCAATGGATGGAATAAATCATCTAAGTAGGCATCTCCAGGTGGGTCACTAAATCTACTCAGCTCATTTCCTTCCACAGTGGTTGGCATCTTCATTGCCTTCGGATGGCAATTAGACAATTGTATTAGATTTCATCTTTAACATATTCTCTTGATGAATTATAGCATCAACTATTAAAGACAAAACAGGGAAGCTTTAAGAAACCTTAACTGACTTGATTTATCTCATGTACTGGACTCTTACACTGTTCAAAAGCATTTAATGATTTTCTAATTTATATGGCACCCTGCTAACAGATAATTCCAAACCCAAAGTTTCAAATGTAACAAAACAGAGATGGAAATCTATAGTATTCAAGAAATTGTTTTTCTGATATGGTGAAAAATATAAAAGGGGGGAACAAAGTACAATAAAAAGAAAGTTCATGACAAAACAGATCAAAAGGAAGATAGATTGATTAGAATAGGAAGATGAAGACTTAATTAAAAACACTTTAGGAAAAACAATTAAGATGGACCATACTCTAAATGAATTTATCAAATATTTAGTTTTTCAAAGAGCCCAAGTGTGTCGTTTGATTTGCATAACCAACCTAAGTTAATGGGACAAGGCTTGGCATTTAAAATAAAAAAGTATAAGTATGTGTGTGTGTGTGTGAATCAGAAAGAAAAGGCAATATAATACATGAAATCTACAGTAAATAAATAAATAATCAGTAGTAACCACGTAATTGCTCAAAAAATGTACCAAGCAATTAATAGCAATATTAAATACCTTGAGGGAACCATTATCTTGACCTCTTGGCCCAAAAGCAAATGATTTGTTACCATTGTTTATAGAACTGTCTTTTCCTCCAACCTTACTAGCCATTCGTCTTGATTGTGGTGATCCAACTTCTCCATTCATCATAACTTCATGAAGGTCTTTATCATTTGAAATTTCATGATTGCCAGTAGTATCGGAATTACCCACTTCTCTATTAGGAGAGGGTTCACTGGAACCAGTTTGATGAAATGACTTCTCACGAATGGCTAAGGTAAGAACCTGATCTGATGGAACATCATCAGCTTTCTCTGTTCTTTCATTGGGAAAATTAGGATCAGAAGCACTGTCTTCATGAGATTTTCTGCCATGAGCTGACGCAGTTGAAAGCTCTTTTGCAGAGTCCTACAACATAAAAAGTAAAGCTTAGACACTGATAAAAATATAATCTAATTGCTTCCAGTTTCAGTTCCTAAATTATTAACTTTAGTACAAAAGATGGAATAGTATATTTTCACTGTTTCTCATCAACACTTACCTCTTTGTCCATAGAAGAGCTTTCGTAAGCACTCTTATGATAACCACCAGAAACTTCTGCTTCTGCAGAATCATCTTCCTCTATATTTCTGCAAGTGGTAGCACACTTGGATCAAATAAAAAAACCTAACAGTTATAGAGCTAAAAATAACTGATAGAGTACCTAACTGCAAGTGGTAGCACAATTCAAATGAAAAGAAACAGTAAACATAGAACCAATAAACATCCAATTCTTTAAGTAGAGAAAATTATCCTCAAAAGTACGGCCACAAATTGTAAGTTACCACTGCATATATCATACAAAACCAACGTTTAACACTTCTTAAGTTAGAAAAATAACTAAGTTTATCAGCATAGAAGAGAAACCCTTGGTACCTGCAGGAAAAAAGGGAGTGATGATAAACACACAGCTGGAATTCTCCACCCAGCATAAATATGGTTAACTTTGAAAAATAAGTGGTAAAGAGTAAATGAAGATGATTTTCTATAACTATCAATCTTTACTTCTAGTACTAATGGTTAAATTTCTCACCAATGACTAATAGTGTCAAGAGGTTATTCAAATATCTATCACCCGGTTACAATTGTCTAATAAATGATTAAGAATAAATAAATGTTAGTATCCAGTTACAATTGAAATGCCTAATGGTGGTCAACTTTGCGTTACAAGTGGTTAAGAGTAAATTAATGTGTAAACAATTATCAATTTGAACTCGTGCTACTAATGGTTAAATAAATGTCACAAGTGATTAATATGTCAAGAGGTTAATGAAAAATCTAATGGTAATTAAGTGTCCCTTAAAAGTGATAAATTTGTTGAGTGGACACTAGGTGGATGTTTTGAGCAGGATGATCAAAGTTTTTCATTTAATGAAGGTTGGGGGATCATGGTTTTATTTTGTGGTTCACAGCCGCAATATTGATGTTGCAGAGCTGCCACAACCATAGCAACCTGTAATTGCAATGCGAATTTCATTGACGCAAATTAATGCAATGCTTCTGTGACATGCTCGCTGCGGAACTTCAGCACTATTCTATTTCACTCTTTTATAAATAAAATAAAATCGGATTTCAATCTTCTATACTAACTTCTAAGCATAAAGGAGTGTTTGTGAGGTACTGCGAGACTGCAGAGACATCTCATGGTGGTGCACTTGGTGGTAGCATGTAATAGATATACCAATAATTGGAATAATTGTAAAATTCTCTTTTTTTAACTTTTGGTGCAAAAATGATAATTTAATGCAGCAGTGCCCGAAGATGTAAAAGTGTCTCTTTGTAAGGACGGTGCGTTTTGAGGTATGAAGTGGGAGATAAGAGATTTTATAATTAGAATTTTGAGTAAGACGACCTTTTCATTTTATATTCTTATTACTTTTTCATATTGAAAAAGTAATAAAAATGATAGATGTTAAGATTTTTATCATCCTAGCACACAGCTATTTTTCTGCATGATTACATTATCATCACTGCATTAGAGTTTAACTACCAATTTCAGGATGGATTGGTGTGGTTCCTCTAGGACTAGGACACCAATGACCAAAACTGTGACCACTATTGCAACCAAGGAGGGGATGTTAAGATGTTCCACATTGGCCGAGAATATCACCAAATTACACCTTAGAAACCTAGATATAACTCAACTCCAACAGCTAGCTCAAGGAAGGAGGAGGGTTTGCCATAAAAACTTGAGACAAATAACGAGGTCAATGCTAATTGTCATTATCCATGCCAACAATAAAATAAAAGAGAAACCGAAAACCTAGGTTTGTTCCCTTATTATGACTTCAATAAACACACATGACCACCGCCACCAAATATAATAATAATATAATTTTTGCTTAAAAGGATGATACATAGATTTCCTTGTCAGTGTCCTGGAAGATGAAGAAGAGAATATATCTTATGCAATCTACCTTAGTGTTCCACTATGACGAAGAGAAGACTGCAGAACACGTCTACAGTTTTGAATCCAGGGGTGAGACAGTAGAGTTTTAGCATCAGGCCTTTGTCTAGAATCCTGAAATGTGCAACAAAACAAGTTTTAGTCACTAGTTTCATCTGATACAATTACAAATCTGAATTGATAAAGTATCAATCTCGCCTGACCTACAATGTAGTGATATAAAACTACATAGACAACAATGATAGCATCACTTTACTTCAATCCTGAGAACAAATATATAAATAATATAGTAGCATTTATTAAGCTAAAAATGGATATTCAGATTATTTCCTTTTACAAGACATGATAAAATACATTATGATACTCCTATGCTATTGGCTAATCATGACATTATTTATTTTTTCTGGATAAGTTTTAGTCATTTTCTTGATGAAATAATAGATATTTGACGCAAAACTAAAGAAATGTCTAAAAAGAAAAAAAATAATAATATTTTCAAAAAAAATAAAAGAAGCATGTTAGATAATAAAAAATACTTCCGAACATTAAGGCTGAGATTTTTTGCTATGCATAACAAATCCTATTCTCAGTTGGAAAGACACATTTTGTATCAGTAGTTCTGTCCTTCCATTTTGCAATAAATGAATTGCCTAATACTAATTACATGTTACAAAGTACTAAGGTATAAATGATAACATATCATCTCTCAACTTTTGGTCCTATATGGAGATCAATACAGTAAAACAAACAGCTATACTTCATTCATGTTAAGAAGTGGTAAGACGGGAATAAGGACAAGGATGGAAAGAATGCACAAAGAAGACATAACCACAACAGCATCTAAGTTTAAACCACATATACATAAAAAATATTCCAACCAACAGTTAAGATGCAATTTACCTTCTTAAAGCATTGAAGCAGAAAATCAGTAATATCAGGTGAAAGGCTATCCGGAATTGGCGGGTGCTCATCCTGAGAGAAACCTCAAGGGTTACAAAATCAGATCATACTTGTGTAGTTAAGCATATCAAGAACACCAGAAAACATAAAATGTACCAAATATGAACTTATTTGTTATGCAACCATGTGCATTATATTAGCAAAATGCTATAAGAAACTGTTAAATCTGTATTATACTCCCAATGATTTACAGTATGTGGACCCATATAAATACAGTTAAGATCTTACTTAAACATTAAACTGATCTTATCAAAACTAAAAACTAATCCTATCTCAGATCCTACAATTTTGGATCAAGTAAATTATCCTATCAAGTACAAGGAACATTCATATATTGAAAGAACAATAAATGTTAGCCAAATAGCAAACCTGCACAATACGGAAAAGAGCTGGCATAGGCTGCAAATCATAATAAGGAGGTACACATGTAAGAAGTTCAATAACCGTACAGCCAACACTCCAAATGTCAGAAGCTGCACAAACCCCAGCCATTTCTATAACCTGACAAGTCAAACCAAATTATCAGTGAACACCTAATCAAGCCCAATGATACAACATATTAGAAGTCACTTTAATTCACAATCAACTTAATTAGGTTCACTAAAATGACAGCAAGGAGCTCAGCTCAACAAAAAAATTACCTTATTAAAAAAAATAAAAAGTTAAGAGTAACAAAAAGGGTAATAGATCTGGGAGAAATGATCACACAAAGTAGGTAGCAGATCAAAGTGGCTAAAATATGCAACAAATTGGCTTACAAAAACCAGAAAGGAATCCACTCTCTTTATGTCATTCTGGTGTTAAAAAAATTTGAACAAGGCACCAATTAAAAGTTATAAGCAAATGATTTAGCAGCAGAACATTAAAAATTGATACCTCTGGGGCCATCCAGTAAGGTGTTCCAACAACTGAATGAGTGTTAACATCAGCCTCTGTTAGTTTTGTAGCAACACCAAAATCAGCAAGTTTCACAAGACCCTGAAAGCAGAAAATAAAATGTAATTAGTTAAGAAATAAAGCAAATTTTCTAGATTTAAGAGAAGAAAAGCAATGCAATACAAACAAAAAACTAGACATTAAAAAAATGACAAGATCAAGAGTGTGATGTCAAAGAAAACCCATGGTGATACTGTAATACAAAAATAAAGTGGACCATGGGGGGAAAACTGTTGTTGTCGAAGAAGAAATTTTATTAGAGATGAAAGTCCAAAAGGTCAGATTTTGATTATCTAAAGTGAATCCTTCACTTTAGAGGGGAAAAAAGAGAATTTATAGCCATTGAATGGAAAAAAATTGAGATGGTGATTAATACATCTACAACAATCTATGTTGTTGATTCTATCTCAACTCAATCACCAATTATTTGATCAACGTTGACACAATCACAGTCACTAGTTATTCAGTCAATGGCTATAGCTCCTCACTTTAGGGAAATCTCAAAAATTATATATAAAGGGTAATGAACTAAATGCAAAATAGTTTGCAGCATAATAATGCTCAAAACAAATAGGCAAGAAACAGACTCCCATATCTTCTACTTTCCACTTCCTTAGTTTGGAAAGAGTATAGACTAAATTCAAAATTGACTCACTCCCAAAATTTTGAATTGCTGGGTACAGCAGTTCAGCTAACTGAACAAGCAGCAACTAAAGTAAAATAGTTAACTATCTTTATAATTATAAAGCATAAACAGAATATTAACACAAAACTTTCGGCAGAGTTAAGAAGCATGAAAGAAACAACACTTAAAAAATACAGCAAAATGAATGTGGTAGATCATGAAGCATAAACATAATGATGCAAAATACAATTACACTCTTGAAAACAACATTTTGGTGATCAACATGCAAAAGTTGATTTTAGATTACTAAGAAGATACATCTAGATACAATTAATTTGTGTCCAAATAAAAAGAAAGATTATATGATAAGAAAATTCATCCGCATACAGATTGCTTGAATGACAGACATGAAATCATTCTCCATATACACAACCAGAATAATTGCCATAACAAAAATCCCCTAGAATATAACAAGAACAGAAAAATAGAAGGCTTGCCTCTTTAGTTGTCAGTATGTTTGCACCCTTAATATCCCGATGGATAACACCTTGTTCGTGTAGATAAACCAAACCTTCCAACACCTATCTCAATATAATATATTTAGCATAAAATTCAAAAAAAAGAAAAAAAAAATCAAATCCTGGAAAAACCTTGATGAATTGTCTTACACCTACAAACCTGGGCAATATATACTGCAACCAATGATTCCGGAAAAGGTCCAAATTTATTTGGCTTGATAATATTTGCAAGTGAGCCATTCTCCACGTACCTATGAGAAGGGGAAAAAACAAGAAACGAAATCCATCAACTCCTCTAAAAAACCTTCAAATTATGCTATGATTAAATCACCTAATGTTGTAAAAGTGTAGAGCCAACTTACTCAAGAACTATGTGCAGGTGACTTTTTGTCTTTGAAGACCCAAGATACTTTACAATGTTTTTGTGGTTCAAATTCTGCAAAATAATAATCATTTAAGAAACATGGCATCATATATTACCACTAAAGCAAAGCCTTTTTGCATAATTCCCATATTAAGCCAATAAACTATTCATTATTACAGCATCAGCAAACATAGAAAGATAGCACAGTTGAGTGAATCATGCCATGCCACCCCTTGTTATGGCACCTCCAACTGCACACCACAACCAGTACATAAGGTCACGTTTAATCTCTTGCACTCCTCTCAGCCTGCTATCACAGCCATCATGCTCACTACATTCTATACATGGGCAAAACAACTTCATGACCGTTGTCTATGGTTTTCCCTTCCATATTTGGGAGAAATTTGTGATTCCCCATCGAAGATTTGGGACAAAGCTTTTGCCTTTGTTCATGTTCAAGAACGTGCATGGTATGGGACAAGTATAAGTAAGGAAACATGTATAACATCAATTAATAGCTAATTTTCTCAACCCAGGCAAGTAGACCACGTTCTTTTTGGTCCAATCCAAATCATATTAGCTTACAGGTATATTTTAATGCAAGAACACCTGTAGCATGTCAATAATATCATTGCCTAAAGCTTACACAAACAATAGATACTAGGAAAAGATGGAGAGATAACACCATGACAGCTATTGTGCAAAATAAAAATTCAATTGATAATGTAATGCAAAATGCAACTACAACATTGAGGAATAGAAGTACCTTCAACAAATCAATCTCTTGCTGAAAACATTGAAGCATCCATCAAAGGACAGTATAATCACAGGCAAAACAACAACCAGATTAGTGAATGGAGATAAATAAATATCAATTATGAAAGCAACAGTATAAAGACACCGAGAGTTATAAAAAAAAATAGTATTCAGTTTATTTATCTGTTGCAAACATATGTCGGTAATTAAATTGTGCTAGAAGTCACACAAAAGGAAATGATCCAACAGAAGTCAGTCCCCATGATGAATGTGCCCTACTTTTTGTTATCTAGCTTTACTGATTTTGGTATGATAGTATCTGGCAGAGCAAGTTACAGTATAATACATGTATGACTAAAAACATTTTATTAATAGCTACTGGTTTTGGTGGCAGCTCAGATACTAGATATCAATGAGAACTAGCTTATCCATGCACTGAACAGCATTACAAAAATTGGTACAGAACATCCCCACACCTCTAATTGCAAAGTATATGGGATAAAATTAGGCAACTTCCTTCTATTTTCAAAGCAGTTCGTCCACAAAGATGCAGAGGGACTGTGCAGCTTTCCTCTGTTGATGTTTTTTCTCTTTTTCTCTTTAGTTGAAAACCTCCCTTAGTTGATATGGAGAATCATTACTAGTATTCTTTTCAGCTTAATGAATTTCTTCTTTTAACCAATATATTATAATAATGCTAAAAATAAAGCTAAATGCAATGTTGTCAAACACAAGGATCAAAAGGATGGGCAAATATATATAATTATATTTATACACATCCATATGCATGAAAATAATAGCATACCAAGAAAAAATACCTAATAAGTCATAAATCACTATGAACAGAAAATAATAGGCCCAAACAACACAACAACCAAGAGACACAAACACAGTAAGAACAGAAGATAATAGGCACAAACATAAGACCCTCTTAGCATGTTGACCCACAAGCCCAGACCACACCTTCCCTATCATTTTGTTTCATCGGACGAGAACCCTAATTGCTCACTGACCCGTGCACCTGGACTCTGACTTTACAACACCTTGAAACCTTGTTGCCTCTGCCATGCCCAATCTACAACCCAAAACCAATAGCAAGCATGGAAACCACAACAAGCAAGGCAACTACGATGGTGTTTCTGGTGGTCTTCACAATGCAACACTACTACAATAGATTTTTCAATGAAACATGATCACTATAGCATTATTACACCGCGACAACTGCTAATTTACAAGCCTCGGCATTGATGGTGGCAACATCTAACAACAACAATGACAATGTTTGGTGATGGCAATGGCAACATCAAGGTGTCGAGAATGATATTAAAGCATATCAAAGATTTAGATTTAGTGACTTTCGGTTGAAACTCATAATTCCAAAGGAATTTGTGAAACTAGTGATCCAATGTTCAACTTAACTTTAACATATGGACCCACCCAAAACTCCCAGTATTGTACGAGTTTGTGAGTTTACTGGTGATTTTCACAACAATTCTTATTGACAATTGCCTGGAAACTAAAGAAAACGAGTACTATAGTCTATAACAAGGCATGGTTGATATTCCTTAAATTTGTGCAATTATGTTGTAGGCAGAACTCCAAATACATCTCAATGGAAACACCAAAAGAAGTAATAGGGTGCAAGAAAGGCTATTTGACATCCCCATGGAGCAACCACTAAGCAATACAATCCTATTATGCTAAAGCTAAGATAGATGGTGGCTGGTCAGAACAAAATACAAAAATAATAATCCCCAGAAGTCCTTACTCTTACTCAATAAAGTAATCCTAAATCCCACAGAAAAACCTAACAAAAAAATAGTGTCCTTCAGTAGCTCGCTTAGCTAGACATTCATAAAACTATTATGAAATCAACTCCAAGAACTAACAAGTTGAAGCAAAACATGCTAATAATCACATTTTAACTCGTACAGCCACGCAATTCGGTTCAAAAGAGCAAGTAAAAGAAAGTAATCTCTCAACCTACCACCCTAACAATGCAACCCCTTGACCATCACTCTCATTTTCAACTAGACCAAAGTCAACCTCACCCAAAGGGACCATCAGGACATATGCTTTGAAGCATGTGTACTCCAAAATCGGAGGCATGCTAGTATAAGGTAGAGGAACACTGGCACATGAGGGTACATAATGGATAACTATCAAAATAATCAAAAGACTGAGTCCAGCTAAGGTACAGCTAGCACACTTTGACTAAACATTATTTTGCAGAAGGGATTCTTCTGCTTTGGGTCATCACTTGTCTCCTTCTTTGTAAATTATGATCTGTAATTCATTTGTAGTTTCTTCAGTTTACTTTCCCTCGTCTAATAGGAAAGGAAAAGAAATACAGCTGCCAACGATGAGGGAATGGCAGTTGCATTTTGACATCTCCATCTCCAGCTGTGACAGCATTTGCTTTGCATCAGTGACAGTGTGTCCTAGTCTACTCTGGTGGTCTATTTCTGATCTGCACCTGGCCACGTGTGTTTGTTCCTCTGCATCCTTTATCTCACAGCGTACCAGATCAGCAACAGCCAGGTATTGTCACCTTCTACAGCAGACCACCAACGTTCTCTATGAATGCTATTTGGTTTCTATAAGCACACATGCACTTTGCTATTCGTTTCACCATTACCCATTACTAATGCTTAATGTGTAGCAAAAGGAGATAAAGCTTAGTGTAGTGAACGTAGAAATGTGTTTACAGATACACAAACACACAGCTCCATGCCTGTACTAATACCATATCTACACCCATATTCATACCCCGTACCGAAACTGTACCGAGTACCAATACAGTACCCTACGCTGCCTTAGTCACCAAAATTTCCCATTTGTAGTTAATAGCTAAAATGGGAGTTAAAACTCAGAAAGGGAAAAAATGATACACATTACATACCATGATGATGTTGAGATCTTCCTGAGCAATATTCTCCAAAGAAACTTGTTTAATGGCAACAAAATCTCCATTCTCCAGGTCCAAACCTTTGTAAACTCGACCATAAGCTCCTTTCCCAATCTCATCTCCCAGCATCTGCACCAAATCTCACATACAAAGTGATCAGCCATTAAAAACTTAAGCTATTTAAAGATCTACTCCCATATGCAATTTCAAAAATATAAACAGGACAAGAATTTCAAATATTTGCAAACAAAGTTCAACCATCACAACATGAATTCCCTACCACTTGCAAGCAAACTGCAAACCCAAAAAGAGTAAGATAAGATGCTTAGCAACAATGATAAAGTAATAATAATTTCCCAGTCATTCTCTAAATGAATTCCACCTCCCAATTCAGCAGCAGCATCCCCCACATCCGGTTTGCCTTCAAAATCCACATAGTGAAAACACTAAGCATTCGTTTAACCTCATTCTTACAAGCACCACCAGTATTTTCATACGACATCATAACAAGTTCCAACATTACCCCAGCACCCTAAACCCCCATCCCATCACATTGCAGTCACTGATGTCACCAACATCCAAACAGTAGCCTTAATCTAAGGTTTCAACAATACAGTAGCACCCTCGCCCACATCAAGGCCATTTATAGTTTCACTATGCATCTCAGCACACTAACAATAAAGCAAAAAATCATCCAAACTCCTTTAACTTCACAAATTCACAACGATAACAGAAACCTAAAGTTAAAGCTTTTCCACTAATTGATCTTCAGCAACAGCAGCATTACGAAAAATAAAAAAAGTCGAGATCCAAGCATAATGAAGGAATGGAGGAACGAGAGTGAAGGGGAAATGGCGTACATATTTATTGTCGAGGGTCTTGGCTTTAGTGAAGGCAGACGACGTCGTCTGGCGCGACATCTCTGCGAGTACGGGTCGACGATCGGAGAAAGCAAACCCTATAAACGGACCATGGAATCGCCGGAGAAGGTGGCCTTCCGATGGGGCTAATTAGTTAATTAGTTAAATATGATGCAAATATATATATAAAAAAAAAAATACAGTGAAAAAAAAAAATTGAAAATGAAGAAAAGGAAATATGAATGTAGTTTAAGGAAAGAGAAAAGAGAAGCGTTGGGTTAAAAAAAATGGTTTTGTGCGAAGAATGGTCAAAAAAATGGAATGGAATGTCCAAATTCCTATCTTCTCTTTTCTCTCTCTTTCTCTCGCGTTAGCTAGCTGGCAATTTGATGTCAGGACCTGCTACGTTTCTCAACTTTTCTTTCTTTTTCTTACCCTTTTTCAAAATTCATGTTCAGAATACAATGTTTTCCGTTCTTTCACAATTATTACATGTTATTTTTGTAACTGATATTTATTTGTGTTAGTGTTTGAAGCAACTTTAAAAAAAAATAATTAATGCAAGAATTAACCAGTTAAGTTTTTTATAAAATTTCATATGATATTAATGAAGTTATTAATATAGTTGTTAATAGTATTTATTTATTTTTACTAATAAATAGGCATGGCAACGGTGCGGGGCGGGTTTTGCCTCCCTAATGCCTGCTCCGACTTTTATAATCATTCATGTTCTTGTTGGGTTTCGGGTTCCTTGTCCCTGCCCGTCCTCGTCCGTCCCGATTTATATTATTTTTAAAAAGATAATTACATTTATAATAAATTAATTTTACTATCTATTGTTTATATATAAATAAATATTTATAATTTATAATTATTATTAATTAAATATACATTTCAATTTATTATATTTATATTAAAATATGTATGTAAAAAAATATTTAATCATTTTTCATTTATAATATTATTATTATTATTATAACACTGTGTTCAAATATTTGAATATTTATAATACTATTATTATAATACTTGTATTCATACATTTAATTATATATATATATATAAATTAATTCATTTTTAAGTTGTCATTTAAAAATATGAAATATATAATTTATAAGGAAACATTTAATAAAGTTAATTCTTATTCAATTAGTTCGAAGTAATAAAAAATTAAATTATCAATTCTTTTAATCTTTTAAAATATAATTATTTTATTAAGATAAAATTTGATATATGATAAATAAGAATAATAAGATAAAAAAATATGACATAATAAAACCTAATAAATATAAATTATAAATAAAATAATATTAATTACTACTAAGATTTATGTAAAATATTTAGAAAAAGATAAAGAATAAAAAAAATTAACTTTGTGTTCATCAAATTGGTTGAAAAGATTGAAAATAAAAAACAAATTGATGGGAGAGATTAAGGAGATGTTAAAAACTGAAAGGTAAGAGAAAAAATAATGTAATAAATTAATTGTTATAAAAGATTAAAACAAATTAAAAAGTGGGTAGAAGAAAAAAATTTGGTGAAATATAAAAAAAATGACCTTATATGTAATAAAAAAAGAAAAGGAAATACTTTTAAAATATTAATATTTAAAAATTTAAATTTAAATATAAAGTCGGGGCGGAGACGGGATCGGAGTGGAGATTACATTATCCATCCCCGCCCCGTCCCGACTTTTTAAAGCGGGAAAACCCGAACCCGCCCTCGTCCCGGTCAACTCGGGTTTTCCCAGTCAAACTCGAGGCAACGACGGGTTTAATTGTCATCCCTATATTTTATTGTATTTCACAAATAAATTTTTTTCCTTTTTTTAATTTGAGAAATTAGGAATTAAATAATTGACTGTTAAAAATTAAAGTATATTTATTTATGTATTCATGTAAGACAAAGTCATCAATTAACACATGTTTTCTTCTGAGGTCATTTGAGTGAAGGTCACACCATATAAACTGATATATGTTCTATTTTTTTTATTAATTTATCTTATATTTGATTAAAAAAATGTAATGAAGCTGTATAATTCATTAAGTTGGGTGTTCTATTACACATAAAAAAATATATTTTTTATTTTTATCTTAACCCAAAAAAAAACTAGTCTTTAGTCTTTTATTGAATTCAAATAATCAATTTGACACAAACTTGAAGAAGCTTATCTCTACATGTTGAGTTTAATTGATTTTACTCGTGAATAACCAATCAAATTTGTAAGAATGGTAATCTGAAAATCAATTTAATGTTATAAAATAAGATCCAACACATACATAAAAAAATTAGATATTTAAATTTATTAAATATTCTATTTTTAGGTAAAAAAGTGTAAGTATAAAAATAACCGAAGAGTTATATATATATATATATATATATATATATATATATATATATATATATATATATATATATCATCTATAATAATTTATAACATTTAATAAATAATTAAATTCAAATAAGTAATTAAGTTGATCATAAATAATCAGATATCACAAAACGAATATATATATCATCTATAATAATTTATAACATTTAATAAATTATTAAATTCAAATAACTAATTAAGTTGATCATAAATAATTAGATATCACAAAACGATCAGTCTTATTTTAACTAGTATCGTTTGTGATTCATAAAAAAATGAGATAAAGAGTTTTAGTTCGTTCAGTAAATTTTTTTATATGTAATTTTTAAAAAATATATTTTTAATTATATCAATAATTTATAATTTTTTATTTATTAATCAATATCTTTATCATATAAATTAAAAAAATATTATATTTATATATTTTAATAATATGACACAATAAAATATAATATTTTTAATTATAAATTATTATACTTTTTATTTTAATATATATATTTTTTTTAGAACAGACCAACCGATCAAATGGTCAAATCAACAAATTAGATATAACAGATAAAATGGACTAATAAACTAAAATCACTTATTTATTCTTTTAATTTTTAGATAAATTGATGGATTATCTATTTTTTCGTATATAGATAATATGTGTCATCTTATTATTGAGATAAAAAAAAATTAAAGGATTGGTTTTTTTAGGCCTATACTTTTCCCTACCTCTCTTATTCATTTAAAATAATAATAATATCTCTAATAAATAATTTCTAAAAGGCTTATTTGATAAAAAAATTAATTAACTTAAATCTTCGATGATAAGAAATTAATTTTTTTGAAAATATATTATGGACAATTGATTTTGGAACAATTTTTAAATTATATTTTTAGAAAATAAAATAAAAAAAATAAGTTATAGATTGTATTTTTTAAAATAATATTTCAAACTCAACAATGATTTATAGATTGTGTTTTTCGAACTATATTTCTAAAAAAATCCAAAAATAAGTTTCAGATTATTAAATCAATAATATTGTATTTTATAAAAATGTAGTATAGATTCATTAACCAATAATATCATAAATACAACGGTTTTTTTTTTATAGATTTTTTAATGTACAACATGTTGTACCATTTAATGCATAAACAAAATGATATTTCAATGACGATGTCGAAAGTGTAAAAAATGGAAGTATAAATGCTTAGTACAGATGAGTGATGAAAAAAAAAACATAGTCTTAAAACATTTTTGACACTTTACATATATTATGAGGTGAAAAATAATTATTTAGATATAAAATAATAACTTAAAAAACTTATTTGAAAATACATAAAATCATCATGACAATTACCTATTTAAAAAACATTGTTGACACGTAGGATGCAAATATTGGTACAAAAATTAAGATTGTTATTGCATATTATAAATAATGGAAAGGGAATAAATTGACCCAAGCTAAAAACATAGATATTAAATTGAATTTGAAAAATAAAACAGAAATGAAATATAGTCAAATAGATAAAAGACCAAATGCATAATGAAGCACAATAAAAACCTAGTAATTTGTTTGTTTTGAAATAATAGAAATTTAATAAATAGTAGAAAAAGACAAATATGTTATACTTTTTAATAATGTTTTAAAATTTGATCAAATATTAATTTAAAGTTTAAATGTTGAATTGAATTTAATAAAATAATATTCTATAATAATATATATAATAAATTTACTAGTAAATTTTTTTTATAAAAGAAAATAAAAAATTATTATTATGATCACTGTAAATAAATTATATTAAAAAAATATATATATATATATATATATATAATATATTAGAAAGTTTAAATGAATAATAATTAAAAAATTAAAACATAATAAAATAATTATTATTTAAACTTAATGTAATTAATATAAAATAAAAAAATTAAAACAAATCATATCTTTTATAAAAAAATTATATTAAAAAAATTTAATATATAATTCCTTTTTAGTAAAATTGGTTTAATTTTTTAAAATAACGAACCGAGACTCATTTACTATTAGATTAATAGAAACTATCCGATTTCACAAGAGAACTTTTTAAATGTATAATGACAAACAATCGGGGGAAAATGAAACAGTGTTAGACTCATTCAAGATTGGGAAAAATTTATAAAGAGGACTAAAAGTTGATTTTAATATTAAAAAAGTAATTTTTTTTCTATTATTGGTTACAATACATACTTAGGTCATATATATATATATATATATATATATATATATATAATAAGAATTATTTTTTTTAATTTAATGAATAAAATAAATTATTATTTTAAATTATTTGATTAGATAACAATAAACATAAAAAAAACTATTCTAATTTATTTTGGAGAGATTACATATATAAGTTTTTAATTGAGAATTTGTCATTGTATTTATCGTTTCATGATTCAGATTAGTCATTAATAAATGATAATTTTTTTTTAATTTTTATTCTTTTGAAGCAAATGAATAATATATAGAATTTTATATTATCCAGTGGGTATCATGTAAAATTCACGTACCAATTGACGGTTTACAAAAAATATGTGAAGAAAGGAGAATTAATGAAAAAGAGTATATATATATATATATATATATATATATATATATATATATATATATATATATATATATATATTATACTGCTTTTTAAACATTTGTCTGGGGTGCCTAATTACCATTTTTATCCCGAAAATTCAATGCAACCATTATTTCAAGACAAAATAATTTAGTAACTTCAAAAATCTAAATTAGGATCTTGCCAGGGTAATCTGATTCAGAAGTCGAATTACAGTAACCTACGTTTATTATTAAAGTTCAGCGGTATTATATGAATGAATAAACATCTTCAAAGGAATTTAAAAAACCCGGAAGGGCCAAAACATTGAGGCAATTCTAATCTGGAACACGAAACGCAACATAAAATATTAAATTAACAAAATGCCATTTCAAGGCAATCTTCTGCCATATTTAATCCTCGTTCCCCACCGATGCACATCACCTCTGAGCCTCTGCGCTCCACCTGCTTGAGATTTAGACAATGATTAGCTTGACATTGTATGTTTAGACTCTTGATTCATCTCTTCTATTGTATAGAAAACTAACTGGTGTGATGATTCAATTATTTTTTCTTTCTTCCAAATTGACACTACTATTAGATGCCTCTATCAGAAGTCAAAATAGGTGTGATTCAACAAAACTGCTTTGACACTTTTGAATCGGCAATTCCCTTTGGCTTTTTGTCATTTTGCTTTGACTTGTTTAAAGTTTGGTCGGAGTGGGAGACAATCTTGGATACTGTAAATCCTGCAACTTCAAAAGTATGTGATCTATAGGGTATTAAAGAATTGCGAAGAACGACATCAACTCCTTCATAAGTCCAAACACCTAATACTGCATCTCCTTTAAGTCCAATGGCAAACCAACCGAGGCCAGCAGCAGCAATGTCTACTGAACTTGACTCCCAACTGTTCCCACTAACATGGAATTCCATTCTCACCCAATTCCCCAGTTCTTGAACTCGTTTTTCTCCAATTGGTGGCTACACAGAAGAGTTCAGACTGGTGTTAGACAAGAATAAACTGTAATACACAGTTAACAATGCCAATGAATCAAGAGTAGCTTGTGTCTTTTATTTTTTTTTTTCCAACCAATTACATAGAGGTCTACATACATTTTGCTTGGGCATAAAAACTTCACCTTAAGCATATTATAGCCACTTCATGCGTAGATATTACTTAAGTTTACTGGTAATTCTCTGAAAATTATTCCACTTAATTCATTAAGAGCATTGGCAAACCATCTGACGGGTGAAAAGTAAAGAGAAAAAATTGCTACTAAATCTTTTGACCAGGTTAATTAAACACGATCCACATATTTCAAGGTCATTTTAACAGCCGTTTTAGTTAGGAGACCACCTCCCGATCAAACTATAAAAATATATAATCGTAGTAGAATTTTGTAACAGATAAAAATACAGTCCCAAAAGTGAAATGGTGGACACATCTAACCAAAAAATTGTCACTTCATTGGAAGTATAAATACTATAAAACTAAACAAGTTAAAAAGAAAATTATACTTCTTCTCTCACATTATGTCCGGTTCAAACATATATCTGGTTCAAATTTAATGGTTACCAGTCTCTGAAATTACTTATTCATATTTTGGATACATTGAAAAATCTTAAGATTGTTCTATAAATTTTGGAATTCAAATTTAATTTTCAATGTGATAAACAATTTAAAAAACTAATATTGGAAAACTTCAATTGATCTAGATGCAGTATCTATCTTTGGTCAGTTCATGGGACGGTTCTAGAGCTATCTTTGATCAAGGGAAGCAAATTATCCTGAAACAGCATGAGCAAGTTCTGAAGTTTCAGTGGCGGTAGTTAGTTTATTGGGTAATATGTACTCTAGATGTACATGCTTGCAAGATTATCAAAGTTTTTCTCAATCAATCAAACTTTTCAATGAAATGAAACAAAAAATCTGGCAGAGTGAAGTATACATTGTAGTTAGAAAGGAAATTTTTTTTTTTTTCAAACAAACCACAAAGGTAAAAGAGGGAAAAGTAGAAGTTGAAAAGACAAGGAGAAAAAACGTAGAAATCCATGTCTGAGACATAAAAAAGATCACCTGCTTGAAAATTTCATCCAAATTGAGGTGTATTAAAAGACTTTCACATCTTTTGTGAGTTGACTCTCTTGGGAAGAGTGATTCTTTCCTTCCACCTTATTATTGAATTCCTAAATTTCCTACAAGATTCTAATCCTAAAGATCCTAAATCACTCCTTGTGCAATTGAGATTCATATCACTCTTGGTAACAATTCAAAGAAAAATCTACTATTTGCAAGTCAACAACCCAGATAAAACTTTGGGAAGATACTCTACAGCTATAAAACCTTTAAGGACAAGGAGTTGCAGAATAATTATTCAATTAACATGTGTAAAGAAAATACCTGTAACTGGTGGCCAAAATGATCTTGGAACAACTTACACGCATTTTCCTTTTTACCCATATGCAGTGGAAGATAAGGGGAAGCCCACACTGTGACATAAACAGAATCCAGAGATGTTTCTTCTATATCCAATCTCATTAGACCAGCTACGTGAACTGAATGGCCAGCCTACCACAACAATTAATTGGCAAAAAAAATGAAACACATCAAGTTTTAACAATAGACAAAAGATAACACTTACACTGCAGTGCAAATTAGCATACTTATATTAACAACAACATCAAATACATCCCCATAAATTAACTTCAGTCAGTGCACTAACCATAATTCTGTATGTCCTTGGTTTCAATTCCTTTCCTATATGAACAAGCTTTTGCTCTTCCCTCATCAACCTTGTTGTAATCTGGTAAGGATGAAGAAGGCCCGGTGTATCAAACAGTTTTGCTTGACTTGGAAGAACACCCTCCACTCTAACAATGCCTAGTGTAGTCCCTGGGACAGGTGCTTCAGTCAGATGTGTTATCTTCCCTCTGGCATACTTCCCTATAGAGTTTATTAGAGTACTCTTCCCTGCATTCTGTGCTCCAACAGCCCACACCTTCCCTCTAGGTCCAGCCAAATCAACTACATTATCCACAAGATTCTTCAGTCCCCAATCCCTCAGTGCACTCACCATGTGCAAACTAGTAATCTTATTAATCCCACCATCCCTTGCTCTCTGCCTAATCCAATGCTCCAACGTTGTTGGTGACAATGAGCTAGGCAATAAGTCTATTTTTGTCACCACAAGCACCACTCTAGGCACATTCCCTGATTTGCCCTGCTTCCATGCAGCAGAATGGTCCTCAATTGTCTTAGAAACCAACTTTGCAACCTTCCTTGGAAACGACCCATCAAAATCCACTACATCCACAACCATGAGCACCACAGACCGACTCCCACCTGTCGATGCCAACTTCTTACCCACAGTGTGATCAAAGTCAAAATCAGGTAGCAAGTTTTCCAAAGTTGGATCTTTCACCTTCCCATAGTGCCTTAACGAATGACAGCGTGCACAGACTACAAGCTTCTCTGGTTTCTTAATCAAGTCTACATCATCATCATTAAGCTTTTCTGGTTCAATGACAAATCCTCTTTTAACAGAGTTAGAGAACTCAGGCTCTTGCGCAACGGGTTCAAGATTGTTATACAGTCTATAATTGAGGTCCTTCTCGGAGGGTTTGATAAAATAACCAGGGTGTTTAGGGTTTGAATCTTGCATGTAAACCCCACAGCCAGGACAAACATGAAGAGATTGGGAATTCACTTCATCATAATTACCTTCACGAGAGAGGGGCAAATTCTGTTTTGTAGCTGAATCTGCAGGCTGTGAAGAGCAAAATCTAGACAAATTAATCGATGGCCGAGGTGAAAATTTCGGGGAGTTGGGGAGAAGGGGTTTTGAATATGGTACTAAGTTCGAAAAGATATTTGAGTGGGAATGGTTTTTGCATTCACAAAGGAACGATAGATGAAAGAGTGGTTTAAGCTTTGAAGGGGAGAGGTTTCGCGCCACTACAAACATTTCTAAATGCTGTTTACACTATCGCGCGCGAGTTCAAATGTCTCATGCACTCGTCATAATGCTTCAGTATTCAGCTGCAATATCAGTACAAATTCAACATATTAGCCATGTAATAGTAATCACCAAGCTAATATTGAACTTGAAAACACTTGTTTCCAGTTAGCAATGACTTCGAAAAAGAAAAACGAAGTGTTGGAACAAGGAGAAATGCATTTAATTTAATCAAACAGATAGTGTGCAACAGAAAAACAAATCCATTTAATCATATTGTTAACGCATAAACACGATTTGTAAAGAAGATCCAAGTTTTGGTAAAGCATCCGCACATTGATTCCCTCTTGCAACCCACAGTGACATGGTATGCCAATGAAGCTTAAAGCCTGCGAGAAAATCACACTGATCTCATCTGATTCAACCAACTAATATGCCTCACAATGTCGAGAGGAGTATATTTGCGTTTAAATAGTTATTATTATTTTTGTTTACATTTTTTTTCCTATTATTAATTTTAAATCATTTTTTTTTCTAATTGACCCATTTCGTTTTTCTAGTTTGTGAAATCATTTAATAAAATATATATCCTGACGTCGTTGGGATCATATTGTTGGGAGAAAGATATTTGATTAACTAAATTATAGGTTTGTATAGCGGTACAAAATATTGTATAATCAGAACTTCCTATATTTAGTCTTGATTTGTTAGAGTAAAATACTATAAGATCATAGTATATGTGTACAAAAATAATATGAATAAAAATTATAGAATGAATTCTATGTTTTTCAATTTGGTATCAGAGCTTTGATTATTTGCGAGACTGACAATAGGTTATATTTAAGAGAAGGAACAACAAGGACAATATCAAGATTCAAATTGTTTGAAATAGAAATAGTTCCTTCTCTAATAATAGTGAATTTATTAGCATTGACTGTGAATATACTTTTTTGTGAGGAAGGTTTAAGATTTTTAATTTGTCTAACATCAAAAGTCACATGATCAAAACATGAAGAGTCAATTATCAACTATTTAGATTTAGTGACTTTCGGTTGAAACTCATCATTCTAAAGGAATTTGTGAAACTAGTGATCCAATGTTCAAGTTAACTTTAACATAAGGACCCACCCAAAACTCACAGGATTGTACGAGTTTGTGAGTTTACTGGTGATTTTCACAACAATTCTTATTGACAATCGCCTGGAAACTAAAGAAAACGAGTACTATAGTCTATAACAAGGCATGGTTGATATTCCTTAAATTTGTGCAATTATGTTGTAGGCAGAACTCCAAATACATCTCAATGGAAACACCAAAAGAAGTAATAGGGTGCAAGAAAGACTATTTGACATCCCCATGGATCAACCACTAAGCAATACAATCCTATTATGCTAAAGCTAAGATAGATGGTGGCTGGTCAGAACAAAATACAAAAATAATAATCCCCAAAAGTCCTTACCCTTACTCAATAAAGTAATCCTAAATCCCACAGAAAAACCTAACAAAAAAATAGTGTCCTTCAGTAACTCGCTTAGCTAGACATTCATAAAACTATTATGAAATCAACTCCAAGAACTAATAAGTTGAAGCAAAACATGCTAATAATCACATTTTAACTCGTACAGCCACGCAATTCGGTTCAAAAGAGCAAGTAAAAGAAAGTAATCTCTCAACCTACCCCCCAACAATGCAACCCCTTGATCATCACTCTCATTTTCAACTAGACCAAAGTCAACCTCACCCAAAGGGACCATCAGGACATATGCTTTGAAGCATGTGTACTCCAAAATCGGAGGCATGCTAGTATAAGGTAGAGGAACACACTGGCACATGAGGGTACATAATGGATAACTATCAAAATAATCAAAAGACTGAGTCCAGCTAAGGTACAGCTAGCACACTTTGACTAAACATTATTTTGCAGAAGGGATTCTTCTGCTTTGGGTCATCACTTGTCTCCTTCTTTGTAAATCACGTTCTGTAATTCATTTGTAGCTTCTTCAGTTTACTTTCCCTCGTCTAATATGAAAGGAAAAGAAATACAGTTGCCAACGATGAGGTAATGGCAGTTGCATTTTGACATCTCCATCTGCAGCTGTGGCAGCATTTGCTTTGCATCAGTGACAGTGTGTCCTAGTCTACTCTGGTGGTCTATTTCTGATCTGCACCTGGCCACGTGTGTTTGTTCCTCTGCATCCTTTATGTCACAGCGTACCAGATCAGCAACAGCCAGGTATTGTCACCTTCTACAGCAGACCACCAACGTTCTCTATGAATGCTATTTGGTTTCTATAAGCACACATGCACTTTGCTATTCGTTTCACCATTACCCATTACTAATGCTTAATGTGTAGCAAAAGGAGATAAAGCTTAGTGTCCAATTAGTCAGTGTGAACGTAGAAATGTGTTTACAGATACACAAACACACAGCTCCATGCCTGTACTAATACCATATCTACACCCATATTCATACCCCGTACCGAAACTGTACCGAGTACCAATACAGTACCCTACGCTGCCTTAGTCACCAAAATTTCCCATTTGTAGTTAATAGCTAAAATGGGAGTTAAAACTCAGAAAGGGAAAAAATGATACACATTACATACCATGATGATGTTGAGATCTTCCTGAGCAATATTCTCCAAAGAAACTTGTTTAATGGCAACAAAATCTCCATTCTCCAGGTCCAAACCTTTGTAAACTCGACCATAAGCTCCTTTCCCAATCTCATCTCCCAGCATCTGCACCAAATCTCACATACAAAGTGATCAGCCATTAAAAACTTAAGCTATTTAAGATCTACTTCCATATGCAATTTCAAAACTATAAACAGGACAAGAATTTCAAATATTTGCAAACAAAGTTCAACCATCACAACATGAATTCCCTACCACTTGCAAGCAAACTGCAAACCCAAAAAGAGTAAGATAAGATCCTTTTGATAGACACAAGTGATTGAACAAATGTATATTCGCAAAGGGAAAACATTGACGTGGACAATGAAAGACTTCTCACTTTTCTATCCAAATACAATTATTCCATTGCAGCAGTTATTGAGTTGTGAATTTGTGAGTATTTATACTTTGCCTAAAATTTATATTTTTGTCAAGATAAAAATCAATTAACCAGAGTTTTTCTATTTCAGATTTTTGCTCCCACTGTACACAATGGTCATTGGTGGTGTTATGTGCTGAAATGTAAGGATGGAGAACTGTTTATATTAGATTCATTGGGCCATGATAATAGATCACGAAAACCAATTGATATTTGGTAATATATGTTTTAAGTTGTTTACGTAGGTAATATAGTTAATTCAGAACTATATTTATTTGGCGAATAATGTAATATCGTGAAAAGTTGCAATGTTTTGAACATCTATTGTCGCTGTTGGAAACAAAGTCATCGAGGACCACTGGAGAACTTAAGGTTACAAAGGAGGACTTGCCAATTCAACCAAACATGTTAGTATGTTATTATAGTTGAAATTTTGTTTGCAAAATGTTGTATGTAATGTGTGTAATAACTACATTCAATTGTGCAGGTATGATTGTGGATTGTTTGTTTTAAAATATATGGAGTTGTGGGATGGTGTGAGCAAAGTGAATGGGAAAAGCATGCCTCATTACACATCGGTAAACATTAAAGTCATTGTATTATTGTTTTGTTTTTTATTACTATGAATATAATTTATTATGACATTCTTCATATTGTACAGGAGCAAGTTCAGAAATTTCGAGAAGAATATGTATGCAGATGGGTACTTCATCCTCAAAATCTTCATCGACAAGTCATGGTTATTGAATCAGGAGTTAACATCCTCATATAGGAATAGAAATGTAGATATTGTATTTGATTATTTGTTCATCTTCATTGATGAATGTTGTACAGTCTATTCATATGTAATATAACTGTTAAGTTGGTTATGGATCATTTAAATGTTAAATATTATGACATTAACAAGTGACTGATTTTTGGACCATGCTTACTAATTTTTTTATCATTTTTTTTTATTTTGCCAATTACATTATTGATTGGGTTTTACCGTCCCAGTTGCACGATATCCCTATTCAGATGATGCAGACTATCTCCATGTAACAGAGAGTGTATATTGAGAACCACAGTTGTACAAAATACATGTAATTACTACCAGATTTATATGTTACGAACATATGAAGATGAAGATGCTCCTCTATAGTATTAACTGTTAAAGGGCATGTTGGATTGGTTGATAAGGGTAGAACTATCCACATACTTGGATGATATATGGAGTGTGGCCACCACCCACTCTCACTGCTCAAGTAAACATCATAGTAACATCAACAATCGGCCAAGTATAACTTAGTTCCACAAAACAAAATGGTCATTAATTTCCATTTGAATTTCTGATGGCAAGATGTTGATATGTAATATAAAAGAAGAAATTCAGATTAAAAGAACAAGGGAAGAGAACAATATAAACTAGCATATGGAAATTGTACAAGTGATAAGATTTATTGTAGGAAAGATGTATAGGTTTATGTATCATCTTTGTACATAACAGATAACTTCATGCTTAATAGAAGTTGTAAAGAATGCGCTTAACAAAAAACAGATTGAAATTTGCACATCACGTCTCAATCAAGTTCAGCCTTGGCCACAGACCAAATGTCCAATGCAGGTAGCCACATACTGTAACATGGATAACCACATATTTGAATCACTTGCCGCTCGACCGAGACTAACGTCGCTTGAGCGAGAAACAACCCGAGAGTCCCTATTTTTTGCAAGTTTACCTCGCTCAAGCGATGGATATCTCGCTTGAGCGAGTGTTGGCCGCAGACGAAACGTCCAACGTAGGTAGCCACATAATTTGACATGGGTCACCACATATTCAAATCACTTGTCCCTCGACCGATCATAACGTCGCTTGAGCGAGACATTACCCGAGAGACTCCATAGTTTGAAGGTATCGTAGCTCGACCGACGAATTCCTCGCTTGAGCGACTGTTGACCTACAGAAGAAACGTTCAACGCAGTTAGCCATATAATATTATTTGGTTGACCACATATAAGAATCACTTTTCGGTCAAGCGAGTACACCGTCGCATGAGCGAGACAGACATAGAGAGTCCCCCTTGTTTGAAGGCCTCGTCGCTCAAGCGACGCACTGTCGCTTGAGCGAGTGTTGACCCAATGACGAAACGTCAAACGCAGATCGCTTGAGCGAGACAGAACCCGAGGGTCCCCATTGTTTAAGGTTTCATCGCTCAAGCGATATAGTCCTCGGTTGAGCGACTATTGAACCACAGACGAAACATCCTACGCAGTTAGCCATCTAATATAACTTGGTTGACGACATATAAGATTCAACTGTCGCTCAAGCGATTATATAGTCGCTTGAGCGATACTGAACCCGAGAGTCCCCATTGTGTTGAGGTTCCGTCGCTCAAGCGATAGATACCTAGCTTGAGCGAGAACTGACCCACTAACGAAACGTCCAACGCAGTTAGCCATATAACTCGGTTCACCGCATATAAGAATCACTTCTCGCTGAAGCGATCATAACTTCGCTTGAGCGAAACAGAACCCGAGAATCCCCCATTTTTCCAGGTGTCCTCGCTCAAGCGATGTGTTTTTCGCTTGAGTAACCTTAGATAGCGGTTAATATAGAACCGCTTTTAAAAATATATAATAGATAGCGTGTAAGGCTTAACCGCTGTCTTACGTATGTTTATAATATCGGTTTTTTTACAACCGCTCTCTTGTATCATACTTTTAAAGAGCGATTCACTCTTCTGGACGCTATAATAAATGTAGTTTACATAGTGGTTGGCTATATAACCGCTATCTAAAGTCATATATGTCAAAGTGATCGACTATAATTGTTTAATAATCGATCATAATTTTTGATAACCGATTATAATTGGGAATGATCGATTATTGTTGAAGAACATCGATCATAGTTTATGCTAAGCGATTATAGTTTTACATAATTTCGCTCTGCATCTCTCTCGCTGGCGCACGCAAAAGAAACGTTCGTTCTCTCCCGGCTCTGGTTCGTCTATGTTTAATATTGGGTTCTGTTCATTTGGTTTAGGGTTTAATATGGTTGTTGATTTCGGTTTTGAATTTTAATTTGATGGTTCATCTTGTTTGATTTCGTTTGCATTGTAAAGAAGAAGCATACAGAGGTTAATGTATTCTTTGCTTTCTAATTACTCGCAGATTCTGTGTTCACAGTTGACTATTCTCAATAGTCGTAAACATAAACCATGGCTGGCAAAAGAAAAAGTTCCAAGCGCACCCACTCAGAAGCAACTTCTTCAAGTACCCAAACTGTGACCACGAAGGAGGTGATAGCCCAAAGGTCCTTGACACCCAATACTTTGTTAATAACGGATTTGACTTCATTAGAGTTTTGAAGGATGTAGAGTTGAATGCCTTCTTGGAAATCAACAAAGCAGTCTATCCACATCTTATTCGAGAATTCTACAATAACTTAAGTCTCGAAGAAGAAGTTCTAACGTCAGAAGTGGCGGGGATTGAGATTCACATCGACCAAATTCTGTGGAAAGAGCTGACAAGTCTACCTTGTGATGGTCTGATATTGATTGGTGAACAACCTAGTAAAGAGTGGGTTATGTCCACAAAATACGACAATGTGGAGGCGAAGGCATCTCTGTTGGTAGATGATAGTCCCCTGAAAGGGACTACAGTTGGCTATTTACACACAGAATATCGTCTTCTCCACTACGCTCTGGTAACGGGTTTACTTCCTCGTTCTAGTAATCATGCATATCTGTTAGATAAAGATGTTTTTCCAATCTGGACAATGCTTAATGGTATAGCCATTAATTGGGGTTATTGTGTGAAGAATCATATGGTTAAGGCAGCTAAAAGTAAAGGTGGTGGTCTGCCTTATGGTATGTTTCTTACTAAAATATTTGAGCACTTTGATGTTCCCCTTAATGAACAAGAGAAGGAAGATCCACAAACATATAAAATGTTTGGGCAGTCAATTTTATCTCAGATGGGCATCAAGTCCAATATAGAACTGTACTACGATGTTCGACAACCTGCTGGTGTCCTTCATCATGAAGAAGAGCTTCCTGAACATGAAGAAGAAGATTATGACTCCTCTGCTCCTCCTCACTTAAATGCACCACCATACATGGTTGCCTTTATGAATGAGATGCGTACTCGCATGGACCGACAAGACCAGCGGCTTGATGGTCTAGCTGCACAAATTGGTGAGATTTATAAGTTGCTAGTTGCACCTCAGAGCCAGCCAACTAATTTAGCAGGTACGGTTTGGCCCCCTCCATAACAAACATAAGATGGATTGTAATGCAGTAATGAAATTAACTGTTGGTGTTATAGTTGCAGTGAACACCCCAAGACATTTGAAGAAAAAACTTCTTGTTCTTGATGTAAAAGGCTTGCTTGCGTGTATAACTCAGTCCCCGCCTAAGAATCTCAAGCCAGATAATTTCATTAGACGTCAAGCAATATTGAAGAGGCCTTTTTATGTTGAGTTTCTAAAGTTCTGCTTCGTGCACTTTGAAGTTGGTATTTGGACCTCAAGAAACCAGAAAAATACTGAGGAGGTCATTGAATATTTGATGCCAAAGATGAAGAACAAGTTGCTTTTTTGCTGGGATGGTTCCTATTGTACTGCCACCCATTTCATGACCCTAGAAAATGAAAAAAAGCCAGTGCTTTTTAAGGATTTGAGAAAAATTTGGGAGCGTTGTGATCCTAATCTTCCATGGGAGAAAGGACACTACAATGAATCCAACACATTACTGTTGGATGATTCTCCTTACAAAGCATTACTTAATCCTCCGCACAACTCGGTCTTTCCATTTACATTTGATCCTTGCAATAAAAATGATAATGCACTAGCTATTGGAGGTGATCTGCGGGAATATCTACATGGATTGTCAAATGCTGAAAATGTTCCTAAGTATGTAGAGCAACATCCATTTGGGCAAATACCTATTAATCATACACATGTATGTTGGGAATTCTACCGCAAGATTATAACTAGTATTGATAAAAATGTTGGTGGACAATTGGCATGATAAATGAGACAGCAAATCATATAAGTAAGTATCATTACTTGCAAAAATTATTGATTTTATCTGTTTGTTTACATTACTACTATTTGGTCCATTGCTAATGTTTGTCTAATTGTATTTAAACTGGCATTATAGTGATGTTTCATTATAATCCTCAGTCTCTTTGACACTGTTTTTCTTTTATCGGTGCCAGGCTGAGGACAAAGGCAAGAGGTCATGTTCTTCATCAGGTCATATGTCAACCCTGTTGGTGCAGTGTGAAGCTCTTCAAATGGAGCTTGTCGCCACCAGAAAGAAAAGACAGGATGCAATTATATAGTGTGATGTGCACAACGAACTGGTGGAACAATTTGTTAGCATGAAGTTGAAGGATTGTAATAATGAATGACTTGTGAATTTTAATTGTTGTAGACATATAAACATCAATGTAAATTTAGATTGTACTATTTTAATATTATTGGTTTGTTATATATTGAAATGTCTACAATTAGGTTCGCTTTTTTTTAAGGTAGTTTGCTGTTATCATGCAGTGTGATTTTTATTACATGTCTTTCATTCGACTTAATATACAACCGATGATTGTTACGTAAATGTATGGACCATCAACTGCTGATAAATGCATTGAAGAAATTACATAGCATATTGTCAAGGTATATGAACTTCATAGCATATTGTCATTCTATAATTGTGATGTCTTCTAAGTCAAGTTACACCTTACTTAGGTCTTTCCAAGCAACATTGGATGTCCAACTGAAGAACTAGTACGTCATACTAAACCAATAATATGCCCTTCCCCAGAAGGAGGTATGTGTATTTTTCTACACATAGTTATTAAGTTATGTCATCGAAAAATCTCTTGCAATTATTATATTAATTTGATATTGTTTATTTTCCAGATCTAATTTTGCTTCAACGGTTGGACCAAATATTCAAGGACAAAGGACACTAACTCAAACAACTTTGAAGTTAAAATATTGAATCACTTCAGTTTGTTTATGTTATGTTTATGTATGACCGGATACATGAATTATATTGGCAAAGTATGACATTGGGTGGTTGTAATGTAAACGATTTGAAATCAGCCATTTGTGCAATTTATCCGATTTTATTCGTATAATATCCAATTAATCTAACAAAATCCAGCCAGCATACAATATATATTCACAGAAGTATAGAAAACAATTCAAAATTTGACAAATTAAAACTAAAATTTGCATGAAACAAAATTGGTATATATGTACATCAAATAATTGAAATGATTAAAAACATCGCTAAGAGTCTATGGTACAAATTTTGTCCTTCAAAAATATATGATACAAATATGCACACCATTCCTTTTGTAGCTGCTCAATTCTATTGTCCGGAAAGGTAGTAATGCGAGATTCTAGAAAATACTGCAAACATAGATATAAGAGAATCACAAAAGTTAAATACCAAATTAGATAAATAATGACAATACATTATTCTTTCATGTAAATATAGCCATAATGAAAAATGGTTCTTACTTTAATTGGAATAGTAGTTTGTCCATGCTGCAGTACATCTCCAATAAATAAGACTACGTAATATCCACAGTCATTTGAGTTGTTTTGCTTAGGACACTTTGTAGACCAAAAAACATAAAGATAGTTTAGAATAACTGTCAAGTGAAATATAAGCATATATGAAAGCATGAATTGGGGTACAGTTGATACCTGTACACTGACCCATCTTCTTTGATTCATCTTTTTCTTTGATGTTGGAAGCCTCTTTTCAGCTCTATATATAAGTAGGGCACTGAAATAGCAAGAAGTTAATATAAATATCTTACCGTATTGGATATTGACATGCAGTCATATGAGTTTACTTACTTGTTAAAAATGTTGAGCATATTTGTTCTCTCTTTATAGTGACGGTGTAATGAATCAAAATAATACAATGTCTCATCCCGAGTATTGATAGCAATAAGAATCCAATGCGAACTAAAATTATTGAACACAATACAAAGTGAGGAATAAAAATATATAATCAGCAAATTTTAGAATATTTGAAAGGAATTGATCAATCACACAAGAATAACTTACCCAACATTATAAGGAGCAAATACCAAGTGATCTTGACCCAAATGAAGCTTCAACATGTCTGCTATATGTTGATGTGGGTTGCCATTGAGCTTCTCATCAAGCTCATATGGAGATATGAAAGAGAACCTACTTTCTTTATCAGTACCATGCAAGTAGGCATCACACAAATACCTTATAATATAATTGAAGGTCAACAATGAATTAAGTCCAATATATATCAACATAAAGTAACCAACCTAAACAAATAGAAATTAAGTATTTATTATTACCCGATGTACAAGCACATGCTAGAGGCACTTAGCCACTCACGACGGATAACCTCTAGTATGTTCTCCTTCCCCACAAGCATCATAAAACTCCTTTCCCCAATACTTCTCGGGTAATTGAATATTAGCATATTCAATTGCCTGATCACTCCTAACAAATAGCTTCATCATGTCTAAGCATGCACCACCTTGAGCCAAAGCCATCTCACAAAGTTCGATGAAGACACAACATCCTTTTTACGTGGACCAACAATTGATTCCTTTGTGTGGCCTGTTTCTATTTCCTTGCCCTTAGTGGATGCTACTTGAACCTAAAATTAATCATGTAAATTTTCAATTAACTATGACTAAATCAAAGTTCAATGTGTTACTGGTGTAATAAATGCACTGCAATACCTTTGGTCGTAAAGTGATTAATGACAAAGGCCAAGCAACATAGGTCCCAATAGCATCTCTTAGGCATAATAAGGATGCTTCTTCAATTGGAATGGGCAATGTTGTGTCTTCTTTGTCATGCTGCACTACCTCTATCGAGACCTTTGCATGATGGTCTGGAGGAAGGGGTAGTGAATGCAAGGTTTGTCCTTCGAGTGGTTGATGCACTCTTCCTCGTGCAACTATGCGGTAGGGGTTGTTCAAATGTAACATGCAATCATGATCACCCTACATGAAAAAAAAAAGTTATAAGACATATACATATTGATATTGCTTAATTGTTGTTAATTATAAAGATCAATCATACCTGTGGGATCTCTGCAAATCCAACTGGGGTGCAACTACCTCTATGGCTATCTGCAGGGGGTGGTGACATTGGCTGTGGATCCATGCAGGGGTGGAGGCACCTGACTAGGCATGAAAGGGGGCATCCCTTGACCCCGGTCAATTGGGCCATGCACTGTGTCAAATGGGCTAGTTGAGACTTCATATTTTGCCACTCAGCGAATGATGGATGTGGAGTTGATGGTGATGGCCCAAATGCAAGTTTCGATTCACTCCAAACCCGGCAGCTCTAACCCTACCTGGATGCTCCGGTACGCCCAACACTTGAGACAAAATATCATGTCTCCCGAGTTAAGTGTGACGCAGCCTCCGGGGTACTACTGTGATAAAGTCTCCTACACATAACCATACAATAAGACAACAAGGGTAAGCAAAAATCAAACACATAAGTTGTTTAATAAAGACATTCATGGAGAAACTAGTGTTGTTTATTTGTATATCAACTTACAAATTGATCGACCATTTTTTGGACTCGGTCATCATAGCCACCCTTCTTGTCAACCCTTGCGGCCTTCCACAACACATGTCTAGGTACGAAGTGACGGAGGATTCGGATGATGCAATCTGTTAAAAATGCAAAATTACTTAGAAGGCTCCCATTGAAAAAGAGAACAAGAAGCATAATAAAGACAAATAATAGACAATTGTACCAGCTCTTGCTCCAATTGAGCATATCCCTTCGAGGCCCTCCGATATCCGTAGGAAATTCCCTTTGCCCTATCGGCATTAGCCTCACTTTGTTTCTACAATTTCACATTCCAAAAATAATTAGTGTTCTATTTTTCACGGATCCAAGACACTTAGATTTATGAAAATTACCTTAAACTCGGCGGTGGTGGATTGCTAGAACAAAGTCGTCCCAATGCTCGCTACTCGTAGCAAACCGCTGATACTTCTTAGGAGGTTGAGAAACAAAGTTCCCATCTCGGACCACGAACTTCCTTTCGTAACGGTGTCCGGAAGGAACGTAAATCTCGTCCAGCTAAAGACAAAATAAACCCTTTGTGCTCCAATTGTACCTCAAAGCTTTGCTACAAAAAAACACAATAAACCATGCACTAGCACTACAAAATTGGGTAATTAAATATAAATAAATGAGATTTAAAGGATTAGCTACCTCAACTTGTTCCCATATTTTATCCTTGAGCAAGCTAGGTACATTACTCCAATCAGAATAACTAATCGGCACTGTAATTCTAGTCACATATCCTATGAAGTGTGCAAATTTAGATCTGTTAGGATCTACTGGCTGGCCCTTGGAGTTCCATCCAACCTATACATTATGAAGCAAGTTGTTAGAAAATTAAAACAACAAGAAAAGACATTATCGAACAATCACATCTTATTCTTACCGGTAGTTTTTGTCCTAACTTCCTTGATTTGCTCACCGATTTCATTTTGGTTAATCCTCTAGTATTATTCTTCTTCAACTTCGCAGATTTAGGAGACTCGACCCCTTCCATGTTATCTGAAGATGTCATCTCTGCAAAAAAAAAGACAATTAGCAAAACATAACATAAAATGAATTTTCTAGTGCACGTTATTGAGAATATAACATACAACTAATAAGTTTTTTTCATGAGGACATGCATGGAGCTTTTCATGAGTTAAACCAATGGAACCAAGGATTTGCTTTGCACCATATGTTATCTACTATTTTTGTCTCATAGGGTATGACCCTATCCCATTTGAGAATAAAGTTTTCCATGTCATAATTATCATTTGTTAACTAAACATTATACTGTATACTTAATCTCTATTACAAAAACTATCAGCAAAAACATCATACATAATCTCTAATACAAACTATTTCACGGTCACACTAAACCATCTATATATCCTACCCAACCTATATTCTATTTCAAAACACAATTTCAGATCACAATGTAGACAA